ACATTTGTATACAGACTAGAGTATAAAAATGTCCATATGACATAAATCAAAAATAAATTTGTAACTTCACTCCAAAGCTGCACAGCCTGATGAAGTGGCTGATGATTTCTCGACCAGTAATTAAACACTATAAGGTATGTGTCGGATTCGGGTTTCATTCAATGAATGACAGGCATATTTAGCCAGCGATTGTTAAATAGAAAATAGATGTGTGTTTTCTTGATTTCTCTGACAGCTACAAACGATTATACGAACATAATGAATGTAATTTATCCACTAAATTCGGTAGATTTAATTACTATGAGATATGATTAGTTTATCAAACTTCTGCACGATTTTGTCATGTTGCTATTAAACTATAGTGAATAATGCACTCATTAATATATGTGTAAAGCTTGGGCACTGTGGTAGTGAGTAATTCCATATTAGTTTGTTTATTAGATATATCACACAGTGAGACAGTATTATTTACTGGATGCACTAATGATGATTTAGATTCCTTATTGTTGTTGTTACGCATGTTTGACATGCATGTCATCATTAATGTTGTTATTATTATTATTATCACTATCACTACTATTATTATTTTATTTATATATTTCCCTACATACTTTCTGACTAATTTATCAGGGTAATTATTAAGTTTCAAGGCTTCTCTTATACATATCACTTCCAGTCTAAGATTTTCTTTGGTACTACTTAGTTTTTGTGCTCGGTCACTTAAACATTTCACCAATCCCATTTTTACTAACATAGGATGGGATAATCGGGAATTCAAATCTGTTTGAATGTGTGGGGTTTCTGTAAACACTAGCGTGTTTAACCTCCCATATTCTTTCCTTTTTACTCTACAATCTAACAATGGAAGCTCCTCTTCCTGACTTTCCAATTCATAAGTAAATAAATAATACTGTTTCACTGTATGATATATCTGATAAACAAACTAATATGGAATAACAGACTCAGTTTATATTTTATATATTCGGAATAATCAGAATGCATCTGAATTGTAAATTCGCTGTAATGCTGTTTGCTGTCTGCCAGTAAATATAACACCTCTTTTAAAACTTATTATATTATTATTATTATCTTCTTTAGTTCCTATTGGAACATAGGACTTCAGCTGCACTTCTCCATTACGTTCGGTTCCCTGCTAACGTTTTCACCTGGCTCCACGTCTCCCACATGCTCTCATCTGCTCTTCGCACAACCTCCTCCATGTCATCCTCGCACTGACAACCAACTCGCCGCTTCCCATTCAAGTTCCACTCGAGGGATGGCCTGTCGTGTGATGTCACTTGATGGTTTGTTTTCGAGTATGGCCAATCCACCTCCATTTCTTCCTGCATATTTGTTGCACAACTGATTTCTGCTGGGTTGGTTCGACCCCAGAGATCCCTCCCTATTGCTGATCTTTTCTGGCCAGCCATCTGATCTTGAATAGTATTGAGCGAAGACAGATGTTGGTGAGGGTCTGTAGTTTGTTGGAGGTGCTCTGATCCGTATTGTAGCACTGAATTCACATTGGAGTTGAAAATCCGATTCTTGTTTTTCATGATGAGTGTCGTTGTCGATCACCACACAGATTTGAGAGTAATGAAAGCTTGCCTTGCTTTCCCAATCCTTGCTTTGATATCCTCGTCAGTTCCGTTGGCCCGTAGTTGAAACGATGCTTCCCAGGTAGGTGAAGGAGGTTGTTTCTTTCAGGTTCCTCCTATTTATGCTGAATCTTGTCTGTTATTATTGTCAAGGCTGTTAGCCAGGAATATTCACCGCCTATGTTTTCTATATGTTCACCTGAAGTCCTGTCTTTGATACTTCTTCTGTCAACGTTTTGCTTTTCACTTGCATATCTTCCAGTTTGTGGGAAATCAGACATATATCGTCATCGGCGAAGTCCATATCCATTTTATGCCTGTCTACTTGTCACCCGCCGCTGTCTATCGCATTATGCAGTCCACCGCAATCAGGGAAATCATTGGAGACAGTAGACAGCCAGATTGTCTTGTCCGCGTTTTCACTTTGAAGGATTCTGTGAGTTCCACTTTGTAGATTACTTAGCATGCAGCATTATCGTACAACTGTTGGATGAGATGTATAATTGTTGGCGCTACCTCATAGTAGCGAAGTAGTTGCCAAATTACCTCTTGATCGACGCCGTCGAAGGCCTTTTCAGAGTCGACAAAGTTGAGGTAGAGAGCTGACTACTATTCGAAGCTCTGTTCAATGATGATATGTAGAGTTGCTTAGAGTTACCTGTTTTGTTTCTGTTTTATTCAGTTAGTGATTTAGTCAGATCATGCTGCTTTCACCTCTACAGCTTTGATAACATTCCAGCCTATGGTTTACCATGTTCCTCGTAAATTCGAGGATGGAAACGAACAATGCAGCACCAAATGGCGGTCCCTGAATAAGTTACCTATTTTGTGATTAAATTCTTTGTTCTAATTATAAAATGCTGAAAATTGTATTCTGTGTGAAATTATTATTATTATTAGTATTATTAATATATATATATATATATATATATATATATATATATATATATATGAAGCTCGCAAACGTGCTCCTCTACTTAATTCTGACCACTGCATCATACGTGTGCTGCCTAAAATATATTCCAAATCACACAAAGGTGTCCTCTCTCACCTCTACAGTAAAGTTCAACGGAGATGCTACTCAAAAGACAACCTAGACAAGCTCAGATGCATGTTGAAAGACACTAACTGGGACTTATTTACAGAACAAACATTAGATGAAACAATCACAAACACTACCGATTATCTTAAATTCTGTTTCGAAATATGTTGTCCTAAAGAAACATTATTCATCCGATTTGATCGCTTATCTTCGCCATATCTCAAAAAGCTACGTAGAAATAAAGAACTGTTGTTCAAAACTAATGATAAGCCTGGTGTAAAAAAGTTAAACATGCTGATAAAACTGGAAATAAAAAGACTAAGTGTTTTATATAATCAAAGATTTTTGTCATGTAAAACCCCTTCTAATTTATGGAAACTTTTCAAAGAAATTACTAACGGTAAGCGATGTATTTCTGTTCCATCTCTTAATGTTGACACTCTTAATAAATCTTTCATACGCTCTTCTGTTGATACCCTTCCAAATGATACAAATCATATTGACAATAACTTTAGTGGTTTTAATACCCTTGATGTGCTTAAATGTCTCCGGTCTCTTAAGCCTTCTCAAAGCCTTGGTCCTGACGGCATACCTGCCATTGTCCTCAGGAATTGTGCTGATATTTTGTGTTATCCTCTTACTAACATTTTTAATGCCTCTTTTTCCGGTAACGTTCTACCTTTTGCATGGAAAAACATTAAAATTATCCCTATACCAAAACCATCTTCTGGTTCTGATATTAAATTTCGGCCTATTGCAATTACTTCCCCCTTTTTAAAATTGATGGAAAAATTACTTTTACTTCGTCTTGAACCCGCTTTGAAACCTTTTAATGATCCTAAACAATTTGCATACAAACATGGTAGAAGTACCTTGGATGCTGCGGTTGTCTTATATCACAATGTTGTCTCTTGTTTAGACAAAGGTGCTAAATATGTTCGTAGTGCTTTCTTAGACTACACATCTGCTTTTGACTCTGTACCTAGGGGCCTTTTATTAAATAAGCTATCATTGACACAAACAGGATCCTGGGCTAAGAGTTGGTTGCATTCCTATTTTTCTGATAGAATGCAGTATACTGTATATAACGGCAAATCTTCTTCTACCTCGCTTACAAAATCCGGTGTTCCACAAGGTGCTGTCCTCTCTCCTTTTCTTTTTTCTTTCTTCCTACATGACCTGCCTCATTCAAACGAAACTAACTTTGTCAAATATGCAGATGATCTGACTGTATCACTGCCTATCACTTCCGAGTCTGACAGCTCCAAACTTAATAGCTTTCTGTTGGACATCAACAACTGGTCCAAGTCAAATGGTCTTATATTAAATCCTTCCAAATGTCAGGTGCTTGACTTTACTTTCAAGCATCGACGTGACTTACTTGAACTAGTTAACTCTCATGATCCCTGTAGCATAGATGGCACGGAAATTGAAACCAAATCAAGTATTAAATACCTTGGACTAGTTTTTTCCTCTGACCTTTCATGGTCATCCCATATCTTATCTATCTCTAAGAAAATGTTTCGTCTTACCTTCTACATTAAAAAGTTAAGACAATCAGGTATCAACCAACCTTTAGTTTTGCAATTTTTAAACTCCTGTATTTTACCTATTGTACTCTACTGCTCTCCATTAATCTTTCCTGGGCTGCTCAAAAAAGATTATATCATATTACGAAGAGTATTAAATGCTGTGAGTAGAGCTTGTGGTCTGCCACTGCATGAGCTCGCTAATACTATAGTCGAGAGGCATATAAATTCCTGTACGAAATGGGCAAAGGCTATAATGTCAGACCCTCTGCACCCCCTTTATTCACACCTGTCCCCTTGTATCTCATCAGGTAGGACGAGAAGTCAATATAAAAAGATATATGCTCGTACTACTAAGTATAGAAATTCTACAATACCCTATTTAGCGCGTACTTTATGTGACGAAGACTCTGTTAGACGTGAAACTTACAAGTTACTATGTAATTAGCACAGTGAATCGACCCTTTTATCGTTCATCTTTCTGTATTTTATGGTGTTACACTTTCTATCGTTTAAATCGTTACTCTGCTATTTTATATTAGTTGGTATTACTATTATTACTACAATTTTGTACTTTATACATATTTTTCTCCGTATGGCACACAGTATTTTGCTACGTAGCTGCTACAACAATCGTTTTATTACTATTATGTATTGTGTATTTTTAATTTTTTTTGTCGTTTTTGGGTAAATTAGATGCAATATTGTACTGAATGCTGAAAATTCCTTGCTGTATCATGAGTACTGTTTTTGGAATAAAGCAATTATTATTATTATTATTATTATTATTAATTTTATTATTATTATATCTTAATCCATCATGAAACTTGCCTTGACATTAACACCAGACCGTTCAAGCTCCTTTTCACTTGAATTTGATGACTTTACACTGCCCAAATGATATTTTGGTGATATAAAATAACTGGATTGACGGCGTTTTCCCGACTCATCAGAAAAACTCCCCTTCAATCGTTTTGTTATCGGTTTATCCGGGTAAATAGATTCAATAGCCTGAAGCAAAAAAGCAGCATTAACAAAATATTTATTGTGCTTTTGTTTTTATTGCGAATAAATGAAATTTACACAAGATTTAAACACCTACAGAATGCGGATTTTAATATATATTTTTGAAAGAGTTCAAATTCTTCGAGAATGTTTAATGAAAGTCAGGGGAATTATTCAAATTTGTAAATAAACTAATGGATAGTGCTTGTCTGTAACTTTGTATTTCTTTGGAATTGGTAAAATTTGATTTTGACTTTTGACAAACAATTTATCTTCATTAGCTCATGGAGTGGATTTCATCAAAATCAACGTGATTTAGAGAAGCATTAAAAACAGGCAGAAATAGACAGTTATCATTTCCTAGTTTGGAACTCATCAAGAGTGTATACCCATGACCCTAGAAGGAGTTGAGGCAGTTCCAGTATCACTGATATAAGAATAGAATTTGAAAAATGTGGTAGAGTATAATTTCATTAACTAGAAAATTTGTAAAGCCTCACACAGTGTGTAATGTTTCCTGCTGACGGTTTGAGCACATTTTTTCGCTACTCGTAATTATATGAAGGTGCTCGCACAACTTGCCTACTTTTTATTATATAGTTCCATTTTTTCTCATCTCTCGATCTGATTGGTAGTAATATTTTCTATATCTTTGGAATTAGTGACCGCTCATTCTTATTTTATGTGTTGGGTGTTGACTGGATGAATCAGGATTCAGTAATCGATCTCCTCTCTCTCTCTCTCTCACCGTACCTGTATTACTTCTTAGAAATTTGACTCTGTCCCACCTTATTGTGCGGTTGTGTGTTAATTCCATTATAGGTAAGATTCTATTTTGATAAGTCAGTCACACAGTGTTACACAGTAATATTACCTGGTGACGTTTCGAGCACAAATTATTGCTCATAATCATATCAAGCTACTCATATAACTTTTTCTTCGTTTATATACATATGTGTTGTGTGCTAATGCTTGCAGTGAGACTGCTGAGTTTTTTTCGAAATTATCTTTACGGAGTAAACCATTTTAACCTTAGCTAAATTCTTATGTTCTGACAGGCGATCTCACTACTCCTGATCTACTAGTTTGACTGGCCTATGTAGTTGACCTAACTCACAGTCATTGCAAGGTATTTTGTGAATTATGTTATTTTGTTTAATTGCGTACACCGGGTCATTTAGCCCACATAGCTTGTCTCTGAGTGAGTTTGTAGGTTTAATGTCTGCTTTACTGAGAATCCTACATAGGGCCTTAGATGTCCCCTCCCTCCATATATTAGTAAGACTAATGTAGATGTCTTTTATTCTTTCTTATTTATGTTGTTATCATTATTAGATTCACAATTATTTTTATTTCGCTTTTGATCTTTTCTGATCTTTCTAATGAATATGATAGGATAGTTATTTAACACCAACGCCTCTTCTATCTGTTTCACTTTATCGTTTAGGTTTTTTGTTTTGGTACTTAGTGTTATTGCTTGGTCTGTTAAACATAATTAACTAAGTCAGCCTTTACAGATAACGAATGAGATGATTTAAAGCCTAAGCATCTATTAGAATGCGTTTGCTTTTTATAAACGCTAGTGGATAAAATTTGTATTTTGGAGTTATACTCTACCACAGGGCCTATGTTTTATGGTTATAACATTGTCCCTTTCCTCCTCTACACTTAATTATATTAGAAACATCCATTCAGAGTACAGCCTCTCCCATCCTATTGTGTGGTTGTGTGTTATTGCATGCAATGAATTTTTAAGCATAGACAAAGTCAAATTAGATTTCTTAGCATATCTTCCATTTATTCTACTAACTGGAAGTAACAGTTATTATTAGCCAGCAGTGATTTGCTCCGCGTTGTCTGTATCTTATTAGATTCGCATTAGAAGTGTATGTCTTTCGTCTTGACTTCCATTTGAAGTAACTCCCAAAACATTTTTCCGAGAGATAACTGTTATAAGCAGCACCTGCACATATCATATTGCTATTGATATTCATGATAGTGGCGAACTGGATCATGTAGTCGGTTGTGGAGAGCGAGAGAGAGAGAGAGAGGACGGGGATACGTTGGACCGATAAGAAGACTGTAATAGATCTGGACTTAAGAGCTGATTTATGCTTAATGTCACATAAACTGAAAGACTTTCAGGTGTAAGCCAACCAGGTGACATAAGAGGCTGGCAGCAAAGACACAATTTCAAGTGAACATCGAGAAAGTAGAAGTGATGAAGATACTCACTGACTACTGTCCAACTCGAACGACGTCTTTTCTTTCACTTGTCTAAGGGGCACTATTTCAATCAAAGACAGCGGCACGAAAAAAGCAAGAAAGACAATAATAACTAAGAAATTAGTGTGGAATTCGGTTACAGTCAGCGCAGAAAACAACATTCGGATTTTCAGCACATATAAAATCAGTGCTTCCATATGGTTCTGCGATTTGGCACCTCACCTCAAGCATTTCAAACAGGCTAAGGCAGAATTTTACCAGCAGCTGCCTTCACTAGTTGGCTCCTTTCTGAAGATCAGATGGCCGGCTGGCGAGGAAGAATTAGTGGCAAGGAACTCTGGGGACGAATTAACTAAGAACCTATGACCCAACAAATATTCCAGAGAAAATGGAGGTGGATCGAACATTTGCTGAAGAGATCGCTGGATGATATCGCGCACTAGACCATCAGTCAGGTGCAGCCTGAAGGGGAAAAGGCGATTTTGGTCTGGGTTTGAGTGTTACGTGGAGCAGGTAATTTAGGGAGAACACGAGATATTTTTTAAATTTTTATTTTTGATTTACAGCTTGATTCCACACTGTATTTTTCGTACAAGTATGGAATTTTCAGCATGGATATCGGTAGCCCAAATTTTGCAGGCCGACCATAGATATCAGATGTGCGTCGGTGCGGGCTCGAACCCCGGACCATGTGCATGGTCGGCGAGAGTCCTAACCACTGTGCCGCCGACGCACTATGAGAAATGATGGAGCTAGCTAAAAAGTGAAGTGGAGATGTGTTGTTGAAGCCCTATCTTCCACTGTGAACCTGAGGGGATAACAATTTCAATAGTAAGTACTCACATTAAAACACGCAGCTGAAAACTGAGTACATTAACAGTATGGAGATTTGTACTAGATGAAAATCTGATTATTTTATTCGGGTGTTTTCTCCTCTTCTAAAGGAAGTTTTCATCTTGTTTCGCCTATATTCTCCTAGTTTATTTTATTTGTACGTGCTTCTCACTTTATGAAGTCTTGACGTTTTCAAGTACACAGGTATAAGTCGTATTAATTTAGTAACATAACCCTCTCTGTCAGCCAAATGGATCTAAGTATGGAGATGAAAAGAAGTTTGAATGTAAACAAGTAAAATGACCACAGTGTGTTTAGAAAACTTTATACTGTTAGGCAAATTGTTTCACTCAATGCATATACTTGTAAATTATTCATAATAGTCTTTAGCATGTGTCATTACATTTTTATATACATTTTTTCTATAGGGAATTGTTTCCCAAATGAATGTGAGATAATGCAGAAAATCTCTTCCTTGATCGAGACGTATAATACTAGGGATCTTCCATTAACCTAAGGTGGCTATTCAAATCCCTGAGTGACAAGATGGTCTAGTGAATCAATTAAATTTACTTGCATATTAGTTATTGTAGTGTTCAAGCATTAATTTATGTGGTTCACTGAAAATGCATCGTTAGTTCTTCACTTGTAAAATCACACGGAACTTTTCCCTAACAGAACATAAAACAGATATCGTAGTTACAACTAACTTGTACCGCCAAACAACTCTGTTGTCCGTCAGTGATCCACTAGGAGAAAGCTCGCCAACCATACACATGATCCACTGTCGATTCTTGGCCTACGTACTGTTAAACCTGACCTAGTTTATTGACCCACAGTTAGTTCAGAAAGAGAAAAGTTGAGAGTGAAGCCAACAACCCTACCTTCTGATAAGACAGCACCGCAGCTAGTGGAATTTTAGAAGTTCAAACCCCAACGTTTTACTCTGAACACAATGAATGAATAAATATTTGAACTTGGATTCCTTCTGACAGGAACTAAACTTCATTCCATGGCAGACAAACTATTCATGTTCATTACATCAGTTTCCTTGCTTCTACCTAGATAATCTCTGAATTTCGATTCCAACAGAAATTCCAACATTTGCTGATTGTAATTTTGTTTTTATTCCTCTACGTTCCCAGTGGAACATAGGGCTTCAAGCTAGAGGCTTGAAGTTTCTGTAGCAGTGGTGATTATTTTTACAGGATGGGGATGTTAGCCTCATGTCCAATCTTCACCCTTTACCAGTCTTACTACTGGCTTAGCTAGGTAAAGGAGTGTGTCAGCTGGGGATCGAAGCCTGAACTACGTGCGTGGTTGGCGAGCATCTTATCTCTGTGCCACTGACGCAGCTGATTGTAATGCACACATGTATCTTTATCTGACAAGTTTTATCCGACTGCAAATTGACTATTTGTTACAGAAGTCCGCATGTTAACTAGTTATGATACATTTCAAGTCTGAATGTTGGGATTAGTCAACTGGCAAAGTGACCTGATTGACTGAAGTCTCGTGTTTCCTTGCATTCATCATTAGCACTTAAGCAACTGACTACTTCTTTAGGAATTCGCATATGTATTACTCACTTCTTAATTGAGATACGTTCCTATTAGGTACTGGGGTGAAACAGTTCTATTCAGGATTGGACTATATATGCTAGTCGTTCGCCGGATGACAACCAGTGAACATGTATATTTACAAAGGATTTTGGAACTTTTGTTTTCCCCTTCCTTGAAGGTGATTTGATAATGAAGTTATATTGTATCTCCGGGTAAAGCGATCTGTTCATAAATTTTTCTGAGGTGAAATGCACTGTAAGAATTCCCGTATGAACATTTCAATAACTTCCTTTGATATAGTCATATGTGGTTGATTGTCAGAATATATATTTTCTTTTGGGGATTAATATGAAAGTATTCTATTTCTAGCGTTCAATAGTTACTTAATATCAGAATCCGAGAGTGAGCTAAAAAGAATAGTGTGACACACTGTTATACTCCTAATAAAGACAGTAGACCACAGATAACCAAGAACGAGTTGTCATAGTCAAATATTAAATGAATGGGAAACGCATTGGCAAGCACTATTTGCAAAAATGTATAAGTGCTGATAATGATAATAACGATTTACACCTATGAGACAAAAGTATTTTAATCAATTAAAGTAGCCTTTGTTTGCTCTTTATCTGTCTAAGTGTTTGTTTGTGTATTCTTCCTTGCAATAAGGGAAATGATCTCACGACTGTGTGATCACAATTGATATGATTATGAACAATAAAGTTTGTTCGAAACTGTGTCATCCAGTAAATAATACTGTTCCACTGTGTGATACATCTAGTAAACAAACTAATATGGAATTACTTATTACCACAGTGCCCAAGTTTTACACATATATTAAGGGAAATAAGTGTTCTACAATTCTGTATCGTAAACATAAAGGATTTGAGTATCATTCAGAGGGTGTACAACCCACTGTTTCTAACTGTATTTAAGCATTAATTAGCATCATAGGATCAAAGTTCTTACCACTGGAGGGTTTGTGCCATATAATCAAATTGTATTACTACATATTCATTGAAGAAAGTTTAAAGGAAGAAACGATACTCACTGAATGGAAGAAAGACTAGATTGCCAAAACACTAAGGAAGAGATGCTTAAGCCTCCGTGAAAACTGCTTTAGAATCGTGCCCTTGTCCACTGCAAGCAGAATATTAAGTACCGTCATCCTGGAGAGACTATGGGTGTTCTGGAATCAAAAATTCACCCCGAATAAGCTGAATTCAGTAAAATCAGGTCATGTGTGGATCAAATCGCAAATCTACGCATTATCATCCAACAGAGCATAGAATGACAGTCAACACTTTACCTTAGCTTTGTCGACTTTGAAAAGGCTTAGCACCACTGAACTCTAGTAACGAACCAACCAAGACCTACAACCCAACAAATATGCTGAAGATAATGGAGGTGTATCTCATTCACACTGTTGAAATCATTGAGTAACATCGTATGGCAGGCCATCGCTTGAGTGGAACTCAAATTGGAAACGGTAAGTCTGGCTTAGGTTCATGGGTGAAATGAAGGCAATTGGGTAAGTAGGAGATGAAAGCTTACGGCTTATCCTGGACGAGAAAAAGAGGATAGAACAGAACTAGATGTAATGGAGATGCGCTAATAAAGCCACTTATTCTGCTCGGAACCTAAGAGAATAATATTAATGATAGTACATATTTATTGGTGAGAAAGTAGCACTTTGGAGACTGAAAATGGTGTCATCCAGTACTACAGTGGGGGACGGCATAGCTGGGCTTTTCTGGCCCTATGCTGACCTGCTGTCCAAGTCTTCCTCGTAATCATCTCTGTGATGACAGATCCCCTAGCTTGGTGGTCACATTACAGTCTTGATTGATAGGATTCAGTCGGAACCACCACGTACTTGAAGTCTGACAAGCCGCTGATTTCATCGGAGTGGCCAGTCATCGCATACATTCTAACTTGTGTATTCGATTGTAATACTGAAACTGTATTAATAGATGGATATTTATTGCGCGATTTATTCGACTGATTTACGACCACAGTGTTATAAATCCAATAATTCCAAACTTCGTCTGCATACCTTCAGTACTGTTACCTTTTGGGAGCAGTAGGATATTCAAAACTTCACGAAAACACACTGATGTATTTAATAAACGAAGTAAGATTCAACTGTAGTCAATATTATTATTATTTAAATTATGCCTTCCGTATAATAGTCGTATAATATACTGCTCAGTGTACAAAATTGGGAAGTAGTAAGCATATAGAATATCCATGCAGGATAGATTGTTTTAGCGACATGTTTCACTATAAAAAACCCATATAAGTCATGAGTTCGCCTGCGACCTCAAAGTACTGAACAATGGATTCGTCTCACTTCAACATGACACACTAGATACTATATACTGTATCACTAGACCCTATTGTAAAATCTTGATAAGTGATAAAATCAAAATTCTCAAAATTCCATTCAGACTGACATTTATCTTCATTTCTGAAGTTAAATTTAAACTGTTAGAATGTTTGTTTTTCCAGGTAAGAGGCATGTCAAACGTATATATATATATATATATATATATATCTGGTAGTTACCTTGACAACTGTTTCTACTAATTTTGGAGTGGCAGGTCGTTCAGGTATAACTTCTATTGCGGCATCATCATCATTAGCTTCAAGACTGATTTCTTTTTGCATTTTCTTTTTCTTCTCCTTCTTTGCTCCATCTTTTGCATTTTTCTTATCTCGATTGAGCATTCGTCTGTAGAAAAAGAGTGTTTCATTGGGTGAGGTCAAAAAAAGGCGAAAACCAGAAAGGTTAGGTCACGAATAGACATAATTTCGAGGGTAGCTGATAACCTGGGAGTAGGCATTAGCCATTTCACAAAGTTTGGGACTTTAGTAAAACAGGGTTGTAGGAAAAGGGATGAGTTTCCAGAAGCAGACTTGTTAACGTTAGTCAATTCATAGGAGTTGAATAAGTGCATCAAAATTAGGTAGTAAGATGAATAATCTAATGAACGAGTTTTAGGATTTCATCATGAGCTGACATAGTTAGAGAACCATTGGAAAACCTGGGAGTGAATTGGCAGAAGTTAGAATTCAAGGACCATTGGATCGGGTCCCAGTGGCTTAATGGTATACGAGCTCGCCTTGTAACCGGAAGGTCCTGGGTTCGATGAACGAGTTTAATCAGCATGTACAGTGAAGCGACAGAAAATATGAAGTTGTGTGTAAGAGTTCCAAAGAAATACGAGAGTCATAAGGAGTTAGAGAAACAAACAAAAAACAAACAAAATCGAAGTCAGTAGAAATCAACGATGAGGTTGTTACTATGATAGTAGAAGTAGTTGAATAATTTTCTTTTGCATGCATATATCTGGGTTTTTTTTAATTGAATACCTTAAGCTTCAGCAATGCAAAGGAGACAAAAGCGTATTGCCTTTGGAAGGTTATTCTCCACTTTGTAGATTACTTTGAAAGAGGCGTTTGCTGAAGTAGTAGGATGACCAGTACTGACAAGGCGTTCGATTATCTCACTCCCTATAGAGCGACTACCCCCTCTCCGCAACTATATATTAGGATAGTGTTTCTAAATACTTTTAGATAGGATATGCATTGAACAACCAATATACCTGGTTCCACAAGAACTAATGAATTAATATATGCACATAAAAGTGGTCAAATACGTGGCTGCGTACATTTGGAAGACTGGAGAACACTACTGTTAGTATTGCTGAGAAGAATGTTTTCAAATATGAAGAAATTCTTCCCTTAAGGATATCGTAGGATAAGTGTCACTTGAAGTTCACGTTCATGTAAAGTTCCTTTATTGGAACAGAGAATCTTCAAGGTTATTCATTTGGGATCAAGGTTTTTATCAAAAGATCTCCCTCTGCTTCTAGGGCGTCAGGAATACAGATGCCATGTCAGATCAGAGTAGTAAGGAATTCAATTTTGTTTTGTTCAGCAGGCATTCACCTCTAACTACCAAGTTGTTGATTTCTGCTAACTTGATATTTGCTTGGTTACAGGATTTCATCATGAGCTGACATTGGTTAGAGAACCATTGGAAAACCAATGTCAGCTCATGATGAAATCCTGTAACCATTCTCTAACTCCTTATGACTCTCGTATTTCTTTGGAACTCTTACACACAATTTCATATTTTCTGTCGCTTCACTGTACATGCTGATTAAAACTCGTTCATTAGACTATTCATCTTACTGCGTAATTCTGATGTACTTATCGACTACTTGTATGCAATGACTAGTACCAACAACTGTGTTTGTGGCACAAGGTTAGTCAGCGGACCATTATTCTGCTACCCTAGGACTCGTTGACCTGTGAATTCTAACTTCTGTCAAATTGCAATGTATAGAACCAATAACATCCACTGTCATCATAGGTCAGTGTCTGCTCTCATAGACGGACTTGGTCAGCCCTACTTGTGATCACCTCTCACTAGAAATACAGTAACTCCTTCCTGTAGTTAGAGTGTAGTCAGGAGGAGATTATTGTGTAATATTATAATATCCTTAAATTCATCATCAAGTGAAAAGCAATGAGTGACAAATTTCAACTACATGGTGAAATTTACTTATAACTCTCTGGTGACCAATTCTTTTATGTTCCACTAGTTTTATCAGACAATGATGATTTGTAAACAAGTGAGTTTTTCATTGATGAGTAATTATGGGTTAATTAACTGATTGACTTACTCATTTTATACTTTTCATTGAAATAGTAAGCACGCTTAGGCAAAATAATATATACATACATGTCAACGAGATAGTCTGATATCAAATATACTGAAAATAATATTTATCATAAATAATTTGTTCATATTTCCTGTTAGTAACTTTGTTTACTGTCGAGATGTTCTGCCGCATAACGTCATCGCCAGGATATAACAACTTTATCGCTTTTGTAAGGGGAGATCTTCTCAAAAGGCTTCATACACACTGGTGTTTCGTTTTATCGAAATACTTTAATGGAACAGTGTATACGTACTGATTTATTGCCTTATTCATTAGGCCATCACTATTTTGTAATCGTATAGAACTGTGACTGATGTAATGGTGGATATTACGTAAATCAAACAAAGACTTCACTAACCAGTAATAAATTAAGTGAAAGAGGATTTAATAAAATCAGTCAAGCTTGCAATGTGGACACCATGCTAGGTGGCTCGCCATTACGGTGCACTGTGAATTGTTGGTATTCAGTTGGAATTCAGTCTGCAGTGAAGATAGGACTAGACACATAACACTAGTTACTGACTAGTATGCAATCAAAAATATCCAATACAGTCCCATAGGAGGCCAATCGCGAGCTCGAATAGCTCAGTGGTAATGTCTCTGACTCCAGCACTGGCTGACGCAGGTTCGAATCTCAGAAGGGACATGAGTTCCTTCAAGGTTGCAGATACGCCTTGCTGACTGGTGAGTGCCAACTAGCGCGAAACGTAGGTGCAAGGCTTCCTGCCGATTACCTCCAACCATCTAATACCAAAGAATACTTTAGACACTGATATATTAAAGCTTTCAGGAAAGATGATTGTTTTATTCATAAAGATTTCTAAAAGTTTGTTTAACTGTTTATAATTACACTGTGAAGTTATTGTCTAGAAAGACAGGGAAACGTTCACTGTAACATAAATCTAGCTAAGTAAGACGGCTAATATGATGAACTTCAAGAAAATATGTAGTAAACATCTAATGATGGATTCAATTGCACTTTGATACATTTCGATTATTTGTTTGACCGCTACCATAACTGCGTAGTCTATTAAACTTATAAATCTTTAGTTATACATAATATCTTTTCATCTCTTGAACTTATCATTTACATGACCTAAATTTAAATTTAAGCTGTCTTTTTTTATTAACTGCGTAAAGAATTATTTGATGGCTTCTCTTTTGTTTACTCAAGTAGAATTATCTTAATCAGTCAGTCTAACTGAATATCAGCTCGACCAGTTGGTCAGGAGCATTTGATACAATAAATCTAGGCGATTTCATACATTTATTCCCCTTAATGATTTTCAATAAGGCAAGAACAACAGGCTTTGTAGAATGAAATAGTGCCATCATTCATTTCGTTGGCTTCTCATCAGCCCAACCGCTTACAGCCCAAAGTCATTATTAAGTATACCTACAGAAACAATTTTAACATACTTGCACAGAGTTTATTTTAAACAAAAATCAATCGATTAGTATATGTATACACTAATTATATATATATATGTAATATTAAACACTCTTCCGAACAATAATAACCATACACGATGGAAACTTTCGGCATGATAGGAATAATAATGATGTGCATCGGTGACATAGCGGTTAGGACGCTCGCCAACCATGCACATGGTCCGGGGTTTGATCTCCGGCCGACTCACTCCTTTACCTCACTAGGCCAGAAATAATGCTGGTAAAGAGGAAAGGTTGGGCATGAGGCTAGCAACCCCATCCTGTAAACTTCAAGCCACTAGCTTGAAGCCCTATGTTCCACTGGGTACGTGAAGGAAAAAAAAACAAAGAAAACAAACTTTGGTCTGTAAGCAGCTGATGAGAAGCCAACGAAATCAATGATAGTACCATTTTATTCTGCACAGCCTGTTGTTCTTGCTTTATTCAAATCTAGGCAAACCAATTATCTGGTTTTCAGGTTACTCACATCTGTAGGTGTATAACTGCGTGTTGCAGGCAGACAAACTCTCCACAAAGCCATTCCACTCATATGCATACATATATAAATTCCCGTTACTTTTAATTTGAAATCATCTACAACCATGAGCATATTGTAAACATAGACTAACTGTGATCGTTTTTTCAATAATTCATGTGCTTGTGGATAATTTTTCATTATTTCTTCAAAGTCTTGTTTTGATAAACTGAAAAGTGTTGAAAATCCTTTCGATCGGACATCAGCTGTTCGCCTGTTCTTTCCAGATAAAGCTAGTAAGCTTGTAACAGAGAAGAAGAAGAATAGAGGTTAGATAACAAATTAGTAGAAGATAAAAGGACTGTGCGAAAAATATCTTCTTTTCAATTCGATCCTAATCCCTGGCTCTATTCCAGTATATAATGCGACATTTTTTATACAATGCAAAACAATATTACCACTCTAGTGGTGATGTGTTTGTCAACAATAATTAGTGGATTGTATAAGGCATAATTTTAGAAAAAATGAAGATTAATTAAGGAATAAATGAGTGTTCCAGTTGACCGCATAATAAGCAATTATAAACGAAGTAGTAGAGGGCGAAACTGTTAGCCTTTTACATTCATTTAACTATGTCTATCGTAAGGAAAGTGGCTATGGAAATTTCTTCTGAACACGCAGGTTTGATTTCTTTAGATGGTAGGATTCTGATGGCTTCAGTTATCTGTAGAAGACAAACTGGTAAAGCAAAATAAGGATTGAATAAAGAAGGAATGAACAAATTTGTCGGATGATATGAGCTTGTTTCATTTCGTGGATTCTCCTCAACTGCTTATATCCGAAATAAATCAGTTATATATTATAAAATTTCTAAACAAATTTTTTACAATGAGAACTTTTATGTCATTGATGAAATCCCCATGCCATAAACTGGCTAGGTGGTTGGCACAAAACTTAGAACTAATTTGACAAAAGTTGGCTGTCCACAGTATCAAGGGTTCCTTCCGATTCTCACAAGAAATAAACCAATTGAACATTTCAGACTAATGTCTCGTATCATACTAAGTATGTGTTCGCTGAAGAGACAGTGAGAATCATGCGCTAGGATATCTAAATACTTCCGCTTTCTGAAAAGCAGCTATGAAGGTTACTACTTCTTTATACAAAGAAAGTCCACTTCCGACAGAACGATCAGCTGTACTAGCAAACTGACAATGATAATGGCTTCACCTTTGTGTCCTATTCTCGCGGACATATTAATGGCTCATCTTGAACAGATACGAATGAAACCAAAAATAGAGAGGACCACCTATTACTGCAGATATGTTGATGATATATTTGTGGTTTGCGACAATATGGATCACGCATCCACAATTTTCGAAAACTTCACATAGCATTTACAATGGACCATGAACGTAACAATCAGTTCTACTTCCTAGATCTCAAAATATAGTTAAGAAATAATGGGATGGTTGAAAATTCCATCCAGAGGATAGAAACATGGGTTGGTCACTGCTTGAATTATCACAGTTTCTGCTCAGTTGGCTACAAATGGAGCCTGGTGAAAACGTTCTTTCAGCAGAGCTAGGTCGTTGTGTTCAGAAGAGAGAGAGTCAAAGAGGAACTCGCAGTCGTCGATAAGAAACTTATCGAAAATGTTTACTTGCGAAAGTTCATATCAAAACATGGGAAGGAAAAATCGCCTAGACCGAAATCCGATATAATTGAAAAGAAACCAATTTTTTTCTTTCTAGCGTAAAAAGAGGAAGAAGTATCGATGAGAACGAAAAAGGGAATGAAGGGTACATTAAAAAGAACGTTTCCCACCGCTAGACTCATTCCACTTTACAACACAGTATGCTCGTTAACCCAGTCAAAAGACGATAAGTATCCTGTTCTGAGTGTCGACTCCAACTGTATTTACCAATTCACCTTGCTGCACTTGCGGCATCAAGTACATAGGAAAGACCGAAAGAAGAGCGTCTACTAGATTTTCTGAGCATATCTCTCACAGTTTCCGTTTATAAGGCAGCAAAGTACTCTCAAGAGCAATCACCAGACACCTAATTGACATAGAATATACCTTGAAAACTAGTCAGGCTTCCAAAATAGTCAATATACAAAGGAAAACATGGTTACTTCGATTCGCGGAAGCCACTGCTATCAGAAGACTAAGACTCAACCTATGCATTCAGAAAGAGAGTGTGACTGATTACTCATCACCCTAGTAACCGCGATTGTTTTGTTCATGTGCTTTTGTGTTTTATTCTGTTGCATAACATTCCACTCAATCTTGATTTTGATTTTCACTCACTGAGTTGAACTCACTACTAAGTTTCCAATTCTACTAAGTGATTTTATTCTTTTTTATAATTTTACTCCACTATTCATCACCACCTTCCTGAATTTTCTATTTATTTTATTTATTTATTTTTATTTTTGATAACAGCTTGATTCCACACTGTATTTTTGGTACAAGTATGGAATTTTCAGCATGGATATCGGTAGCCCAAATTTTGCAGGCCGACCATAGATATCAGGTGTGCGTCGGTGCGGGCTCGAACCCCGGACCATGTGCATGATCGGCGAGAGTCCTAACCACTGTGCACCGACACACGTTTTATTGCTATAGCTTCAGCAAGCCTGAGAAGACTTGAGGTACTTTGTCTGTTAATTATTTTGAATGATTCCAGCACATCTACTTGGTGTCTTGTGTCAATCAGGTTTTGGCGATTGAAGAGCTTAAACAATTCGGTCCCTTTAACCGGAGGCTCCTTGGTATATGTTCGCAGAATCTACCATAATATGTATAAATTAACTTTGTTGTCTTATCTTGTATTTTGTCTGTAGTTAGTCCTTGCTTCCAAGAGAAATCAGAATTTCCCCATTTTGTCTAATTACTATATGAATAGCTACTCTTTTAACACTAAACTGTCTACTTACATCATCTATGAAATTTTGTTGCTTATAATTTCTACCTATGATTCGAAGTCATTGCAAAAAGTAAGCTCGGAAAATTTTGTAACATACAATTGATTCATTTGGGATGTGCGCCGTTGAAGAGGGTCAGAAAAATGAAATGAGCCCTTGTCATCTTGCAAATATGTTCGTTCTTTCTATATTCAAACTAATAAAGGGAACAGGCTGTATGAGAATTAAGACTATTTGGAATGCAATAGATAACTTTGAATGATTCATTATTGTCGATTTTGTGTTCATTATCTACCGGGTGCACTAAAACAGCACTACGAATCGGTATTGTTTGTCCTTTGCTTAACAATGCAGGATGATTATTGAATTGAATTTTTGATTTTCCCGTCGATTGTTTGGACCGAAGTGCTCGGTCTCAGGTTGACATGTCGGCTTCTTGTGCAGATGCTTCGACGATGATTCCTGGGCATTTAATTAGTATACAATTGGTGGACCGAGCACTTCGGTCCAAACAATCGACGGGAAAATCAAAAAATCCAATTCAATAATTAATATGACCCGTTGCACAAGAGGTGGCTCTCGTGGCCCAAGTGGTCTAGTGGATAACGCTTTGGCGTTCGAAACTATGGGTACTGGGTTCGAGCCTCGGTGGGAACATCATCACTCACTGAGAAATGCAGGTACATCCAGCTGACGAGTCCCAAATAGGACGAAATGCGCATCCTGGATTCCACTGCTAGCCACCATCCACTAATTGTATACTAATTAAATGCCCAGACATCATCGTCGAAGCATCTGCACAAGAAGCCGACATGTCAACCTGAGACCGAGCACTTCGGTCCAATCAATCGACGGGAAAATGAAAAAATCCAATTCAATAGGTAAAGCTTATTGTTGAATGAGCACCGTTGAACCTGTCGAAAAGATTCCTTGCCTCATTCTCATTTTTCATAATCAGCCACACTATCAAAGCGTCGATAGTTTTCTTTGTTGAACAAGAAATGAACATTCTTCGTATATCTTAAAATAAGTTCCATCATTGAGGATATAGAAATACCGATGTCTATGTTTCGCTTAGTAATCTCATCATATATATAATTCACTGTTTTAATCAACGGTACATTAGTAAACAAGGAGGATACGTTGGAAGACATCGTAAATTTGTCATTCACACTTAAAACTCTTATTCAAAACAAATTTTAAAAAAACACTAGAGAGTAGTGAAAAAGACATTCACTACCATTAAAACATAAACCTGACTTCTAAAGAACTGGTGAGGTTTCTTGAAAATATATTTCTGTATAACTAAATCAGGAATACTGGCATACTCCGTTGGCTGACAGATTATTGGTAATACTGGAGAGAACAAGATTTATGAGTACAGATTCAGTATTTGTTGGGACAAAATGAAAAAAAATTATTCTAATTTCAAAATTTACAAACTTTTTTTGATATTTTTATTCGAACTACTAGTATCTACTTATAAGTAGAACAATAGGCATTATTATTCGCAGTAGTAGTAGTAGTAGTAGTAGTAGTAGTAGTAGTAGTAGTAGTAGAAGTAGAAGTATTATTATTATTATTATTATGAATAGTAGCAGGAAGGGGAAGATGCGGAGAGATAAATGAAAATCTTGTGGTGGAGGATGGATTGGTCAACCAACATCTGTATAAAAGTTAGGTGAGAAGGACGTTTCATCATAGAATTTCGTAAGCAGGTTGATTGAATTGTAAAGTACAAATGAAACTTGTTTCTGTATCACCAGCGAAATCCCTTCTCAATACATTCGTTTACGCATGTGTCATTGCATGCCATATAAGTGATGTTTAAAAAGAAGGCAAAGGTTCATAAATGGATCAATTAAAAAACAACTAATTTTAATAATCACGCAATAATCTCCATAATGACAATCGGTAATGAGTCCTATTCAAACTATTATGAAGTTTGTAACATTGTATGCATACGCAAGTGTCATCTTTGAGTAGCATGAGATAATCATCACTGATTTCACAATAAGTAATTTTAAGGAATCAAGAGTTTAGTTTTAATCAGCGTATCTAAGATGAGTGGAAGAATTTTCAGACCACTGAACTGTAGTATCCAAGGTGACAGGGCTGATGAATAAAAATATTGATTTATTCACAGAAATAAAAAGTGAGGATAATTTTCACAGTTGATTGACATGACTAGAAAACAGCTCCAGATGTTTAATACTATCCAGTCTCAAAAGCAGTAGAGATAATATCAACTGTTCAGTATTCCCTGGTCTTCAGATGGTTCTCTAACTGATACGATTTCTTGATCACATCTGTAACAAACTTATGTGACATCGAATTATATTCTATCATAGTGTTTTAATATTTTTCTTACATGAGTTTGGAGAAACACTTAGAAATCCTAAGTTTTTTTAGCCTGTAAAATGAATTCAGTGCGTCGGTGGCATAGCGGTTAGGACGCTCGCCGACCATGCACATGGTACGGGGTTCGATCCCGGCCGGCGCACTCCTTTACCTCGCTAAGCCAGTAGTGAGACTGGTGAAGAGGAAAGGTTTGGCATGGGGCTAGCAACCCCATCCTGTAAAAATAATCACCACTGCTACAGAAACTTCAAGCCTCTAGCTTGAAGCCCTATGTTCCACTGGGGAACGTGCAGGAAAATAAAAAAAGAATGAATTCAATGATGATAGTGTGACAAGGTTATTTCTGTATTAGCCAGTCAAAGGTATGCCTGCCTAATAAAACAAGCTGCTTTCTGGTTGTGAATGTTTTCGCAGCTCCTAAGTTTCGTTCCTAGTGGCACTCCTCAGCAACACAGAGCTGTCACTTCAGAGAATATGATATCTCTTGGGAGAACCTAGCCTGAATCATAAAGTGCTGCGTATATACTTAAAGCGCTTTCTGCAACCAACTATAGTGCTCTATGGACAGACAGCCAATACTGCACACTATTTATCCGCCTCACTGGAAGTTTGTGGGTGGTTCTCCCAGTCTGTTGTAACCAGATACGAACGTACCAAGCTTAAATGAGATGAAACGTGCATTTAAGTAATAAGTGCTTTGTGAAACCTATCTTCACTATGCATATTAACAAGATCACTACTAAGTACACATATAGCACAATTCATTGATTAAATCAAATCAAATATATGATGTACAGTTTTCATCTTCACTTAAGTTTAAGTCTATTTATAGTAAGATTGATTTATTGATTTTGGATATAGAGTATATAGTAAGTAACAAAATTACGAGGAACACAACAGTCTACGCTATACCTTATTTCACCGAACACACTGCCTTCCTTAAGTGTAACAAATACAATTGAATTATTTGGCCCACCGACAACTTCGACCATACCACTTTTCACAATATACATTTCTTTGCCGACTTCACCCTGGAATAAATGAACAAGTAGACATTCACGCAAATGGTTATTTTTCAACGTGGTTTTTTGAAACAATGTAAGAATTTTAATAAATTAAACATACTATGTAGAATGTTGTTAGTTTCAATTTATTGGAAATATCTATTTATTGAATCTCATCAAAGACTGCATTCCATATATTTGATGAGAAACATAGATGTCGAATTTAGTTGTAGGACACTAGGTTTAAAGGCGAGAAACACATTCATTCATCAACCTGAAACCAATCTGGAAATCTCCGCCACTCAGCATCAACAACAAAATTCAATCGGATTTTCAATACAAACGTCAAGTCAGTCGGTTCTTCTATACCGATCAGAAACTTGGCGGGTGGGTCACAAAGAATATTTCCAACAGCCTGTTGCAGACCTTTATCAACAACCGTCTTCGCTCTATACTGAAGATCAAATGGCCGAGCCGGAAAGAATCACAAACAAGAAACTATGGGAAGAAACAAAACAAGAATCAATCGTCCATCAAATATGCAGGAGAAAGTGAGTGGAGATGGATTGGACACTCGCTGAGCAGGCCGCTGGGTGACATGGCTCGCGCATCAGGCCATTGCTCGAGTGGAAACCGAAAGAGAAGCGGCGAGTGTGACGTCAGTGCAAGGGTGACATGGAGGAGATCGTGTGTGTGAAGAGGAGTTGAAACAGTATGGACTAACATGGATGCAGGTGAAGAGTACAGCAGAAAGAAGATAGAAGCAAGTGGAGACGTGCAGTTGAAGCCTATGTTCCACTAGGAACCCAAGGGAACAATATACACTAGGGTTGGAGTGATGTTAAAACCTGCAGCAGACGAAGTACTTGAGACATAAACCTTCCATAAATACATACTATTTTCTTCGAGACAAAATACTACCTGAACTAAAGTGATCTCTCCCATCTTTGGTATTCCGTATAATTTTGTGATTATCATAGAACTACTCTTCCTTCTTGTTCATTCATCTCATCTGAGTTCATTTGTCCGCCATCAATTTTCAATCATCATGTTTAGGAAACCATAAGACTGAGACCACAGTATGTGAACATCATGACATCAGTAATAAGTAGGAAAACAACAAAATATGCGAAGACAGTAAGCACATAACAACAGAAATGATGTTTAGACCCCCTTGATCTGGCTGGTAAACACTACAAGTCTCCGTAAGTGGCTTTCAACTGCTTACATCAATCAGTGGTACATAATGAAGTGTAGGATTCATGTGTATTTAGTCAGCTTTTTCAGCAGTTTATAAAGCAGAATTACCATTGTAGTCCAATAAGACAGAATGAAAGTTGTTCTGAAAAAAGTATCTACAAGTTGAAAAGTTTGTTTGTTCAAACTGTTTGATTTAAATGAAGAAATGAAACATAAAAAAGATACTACTAATATACATTATATAGTATCTTCTATAATTAATTTAGTTTTCTCAACAATTCGTTTGAACATATGAAGATTAAATAGCAACATTAGTATTGGTAGTTAAGCATAGAAACTCAGATCAGAACTCACAATATTATTATATAAAGAATGTAGGTCAGAACTGATAAGGGAGATTTCTGGTTTTCAACCAAGCAGCCAGGGTTCAGCCTGCTGCGCGGAAGCGGTTTTGTGCAACAATTATTCACCACCCACACCGGAGATTCGAGTTCGATTCTAAACTGACGTGTCCTGTAAACGTCCCCTTGTTTACAAGCCGGTATAAACTTGAAAAAGAGGACAGGTCGGCCCAATCTGTAATAAAGTAACGCTGCAGAGGATAGGCTCAAGGAATTTTGTAAAACGTTTGGAAGCCAGGGAAACTACCCTCTGGTTGGAAGAATCGCAGCGCTGTCAAATTACCAAAGAAGAGCGAGTTAAGTCACTTCAGTAACTGCTGCGCAAACATCCTGTTGACCACATCAAGTAACATCAAGAGACTTAAAAGAACTCCGCCGTTCGGAACAAGCTGAATTCAGAAGAAGCAAATCATATGTGGATCAAATAGCAACTCTACGCATCATCATTAAACAAAGCATAGGATGGCAGTCAAATCTCCACCACAACTTCATCGACTTCAAAAAGGCCTTCGAGAGCGTTGACTGCGAAGTTATTTGGAAACTACTTCAAAGCTATGCAGTACAGTGCGCCAAATCTTTATCAACCTCATTCAACAACTGGTTATATGACACTACCACGTGTCAGATAATCCACAACATAAAATAATTCCATGAAGCTTTCTAGGTGAATGTGGGATAAAGATAAGGTTGCCTATTATCACTGATGATATTCCCACTTGTAGTGGTCTGGATAATGCACCAGACTGTGAGGAACGAGAATACAGCAAAACGTTGGACCTACAAGAATAATCTAGAAGATCCTAACTCCATGGATGATTTATGTTTGATTTTTCATAAATCAGAAGATCTGCATGCAGAAACCAACAAGCTGGCAGAAGAGGCAGGAAAGACACGACTTCAGGTGAACATCGAGTAGACTAAGGTGATGGAGATAACTAACCAACCACTCAACCGACAACAACAAGCAACAATCACTATCAACAGAAGAAATTTGAAAGAGATCACTTGCTTCACTGATGCAGACAAGAGAGTTTTAAATACAGGTACGCCCAGTGGATGAAGAATCGGAAAGGCAAGAATTAAAATCGTCTCTCTGAAATCTCTTTGTAAGTTTACAACACGCAGTTAAAAAAAGAGAGGAAAGGATTTCCAACACCAATGTTAAGCCAGTCAGTTTTTCTACATGGGTCAGAAACTTGTACTGCGCGTCAATAAAAGTATCTTTAACTGTTTTCAGATTTTTATCGGCAACTGCCTTCAGTGGCTGCATAGTGAAGATCAGATAGCGACATGATACTCTGGAAAAGAACCAGTCAAGGACCTATCACGCAACAAGTATGACTAGGAAAATAGAGGTGGATGGGTTGCCTTCTAAGAAGACTGTCGTATGACATCACATGAAGGGCCCTTGGGTGGAACGAGAACAGAAAACAGCTAGTTTGGCGTTGGTCCAAGGACGACACTGAGGAGATCGTGTGATGAGGATATGAGAGCCTGTGGCTAATCGTGAAGCCAGCTAAGGAGGACTTCAGGGAAGAAAGGGAAATGTAAGCGTGCTGTTGAGGCCCTATATTCCACTGGCTACTCAAGGGAATAATAATACATATACGTATACGTGAGATTGGCGTCAGTATTCACAGAAGCAGTGAGGCACAACTGTGGATATATAATGAAATACAAATGAGGATTATATACATACCTTTCGACAAATATAATCCATGGGCAGAAATACTACTGGTTTCAGTTTCAGTATCATATCATAGATTAGGGCTTTTTCACAGTTCTGCAATAATTTTTGAAGAAGAAAATAGGCTTTTATTTCGATAAAACAAATTAGAAATGCATATTTCAAAAATAAAACCTAACAGTATATTACCGTATGAATGAAATTCGTATTCACATCAGACAAGAGACTCCAGGTTAGCATCCGCTTTAGGAAATAATACGAGTCAAGATGTTATAAATACCTGATTTATGATAATGTATAACCCCTCTGTTGTACGCACCCACCAATAAAAGTGGATGATTTTGTCCTGACTCACAAGGGGGTATTCTTAGACTGTAGAAAAAATTTTAGTAGTTAAAATAGATCAATTGTGTCAAATACAGGTGAGAAGAAATTGATTGACACTTTCTGATTGGTCGGTTAGGATCGTAAATTGTCCACGTAGTGCCGTAAATCAGATTCCAAAATACTATCTTCTGCATACATGACCAATATTCACGAGTGAGTTTGTGGGAATTTGATTTGTTTTAAATTTGACCACGGATTGATATCATTCAGAGAATTATTGAAAACCACCAGGGAGTGTTTGACAGCTGTTTCAACCAGCTGGACTTGCAACCGGAAGGTCTCAGGTTCAAACTCGGTGGGTGCCCACTTTCAGTAGGTCCCATACTGGAACGAAATAGGCGTTCAGTATTCCCTGATAGTTTTCAGTGATTCTCTAACTGATAGCAGTACGTGGCCAAATTTGAAACATAACTAATAGTATGAAATACTGGTATTATTATGATTAGTGAGGTTCTGCCGAGGAATTAGTGATATGCAAGCAGTAGTTACCATACCATGCTGCACACTGATCCATTTGGTACTTTATTTGACATATAAGGGACAAATAGTGGCAAAGTTAAACTTTAGACACCACTGACAACCAATCAGCAAACGACCTTGAACGGACCAATCACATTGAGGAGGCACATATGATGAATGGAAATGTATATTTATAGAAAAAAAAGCTTCAAACATGTAGCACAACGATGAACAAACCCATCAGTTGATTTGGTATAGCTTTTTAAAGTCATGATACCACCACACAAACAAATTCGCTCTTTCCGGAGCAACTGAAATACAGGAAAACACTAACCGCCTCGAACTGCAACAGTGGCCTTGTAAGGTCACGCATTAGAAATGAATCAAGCGCTATACAACACTGAACTGCGTTCGTGAATCTCATTGGATAATTCGCTGATTGGTAGTTAGTGGTGTCGAAAGTTTAACTTCGCCCAAATAGTTGATGCCATACTTATTTTAGACTTTCATACAGCTTAACAATCTATGTAGGCGATCCCATCATAAAATTTAGTATAAATTCAAAGGAGAATCAAAGAAAAACAAAAATATTTGGTGATCCTTAAATTTTCAATGTTTCAACATTGACTGAATGACAAAAAACCGCGAATTTTCAGTCCTAATATCACTTTTAATTCAAGAATTAAGTTGTAGTCCGTAGTTTTAACACTAATCAGGTGGCAGCACATTCGCTGATATCCCGCGATTCCACAAACTAGATGAAATAACTGAATTCATCATTGATATATACCTGTTTCTGTGCCCGAAAGTATATTAGCTTCTTGAAGTTTTCAAGCTTGACTTTTGTTCACGTGATGAAAAGTCCCAATAAAAATCTAAGTAGCATCACTGCCCACATTTTTCTTGATTTCTAATAGTATACTCCTATCTTGCAGTCACCACTAGTGAGCAGAAAATCAATACTGAAACGGCCCGCAGAAATGAACAGTACTGTTTTCAGTTATATCTCCCTCAGGTATTACTTTTTGTACAGCCATATATATATATATATATATATAATATATGCTTTTTCGCCCTGTATGGCTTTTTCTAGAAAAGCATCTAAGTTGGTAGATGCACAAAGAAATGGAACAGCTACTTGTCCTTTACCTTAGAAATGAATACTTCAGTGCTGTTTAAGGAAACTAAGTTATATGCCACTGATTCTTTGCTGACTGCTCTTGTGACTACAAAATAGTAGTATAGTCGTAGAAATCCTTCTGTGTTTAGGGTATACTGTCTAGCGGCTCCTGAGTAATTTATTATATCCATAATTATCCTCATTAATGGAATACATACATTCTGTTAGAAAAGTGAATTTTATTTCTGCTAGAGACTAGTGTTCACAATTAATGAATTCAAAAATCTTGTAGATTTCTGCATTTTACTTTTGAAACCCAACAAAGACGGGTGTGAGTGTTTTGAGTGCGAACCGCAGAGAAAGTATTTCCTCTTAACTATTGACTTGCAACGTAGAAAATACATTAAACACCATATTATCTGATACTTTTAGCTTGTTCACAAAATTGTCGTAAGATGAAGTCAGTCTGAAATGTTTTTAGGTCAGCTTGCATTTCCTGTTGATTGATTACTTTGGACGAAAACCTTTGGTCTCTTCTGACGTGCCGGCTCCTAATAACATCTGCCACCCACTTCATGATAGGTAGCTGTAGTGACAGTTGTTGCCTTGTGGAAACGTTTTGATGTTTGAAATGATGAGTTTGGGGTTTGAGTCTCTGTCTGAACAGTATCTCTCACTGCGGATTTAGGTACGTCCAGTGACGAGTCCCAAATAGGACGAAGTGCACGTCAGGGCTTCTACTGTCAGGTTGAAAGTAAGCTGCATGAAGCCTTGAGCCTGGTTTCCGTACTTGCTGGCATCCGTGAGCAAGTCATGTCTGAAGCTTGATTGTAACTGGACAGGTATGAATCAGTTAGGTCTAAGGACTAGATAACGCTGAAGTATTTTCTCCTGGTACCAACTAAATGTTTGGAAATGGATCGATTCAAAGCTATTTTGGTAAACGAATTACTCAGAGAAGAGAATTATGTAATTATTTGCAAGATGGTATTAAAAATTCAAGTGTTGGTGTGCAGGGATCTGATTGGTTTTAGGATTTCATCACGAGCTGACACCGGTTAGAGAACGACTGAAAACAAGGGGGTACTGGTCAGCTGTTTCGCCGCAGTTTTGGACTCTTCAGAAGCACATACCCACCGTCAGGACGTACAGGTTTCAAGACGAGCTAGTAGATCATTAAGCAACTGGGTCCCAATTGAATGGCTAGCCCACGAATTCCAGCTCCTGGACATTCACAACATAGGGCGACTACTAGCCAATGCCATCCGAGGTGAGTATTTGTCCTCACACCCGACTTGCTGCACCCCACTGGTAACTTCTTCTCACTCGAACCCAGGCAACTACCTACCTGAATAGGGCCAGTCACTTATGAGAATTCCTTGTTGTTTTGCTGAAGCATGTTATCTAATTGAAGTCACTGTGTTTTAAGATCACAGACGTATAAGATGTTCCACGGCTACATAGCCATCTGTCTTGATTAGTTTACACTTACTTACATCCAACAGTAGTATACATGTATATCATGAATAAGATTTTGTTATGAAAAATTAATAATAGTAATAATAATAATAATGGTCTTATCAATAATAAGGATGAAAAAATGAGGCAATCTGTGATAACACGAATAATGAAAAACAGTATGATTAAACAAACAATCGTTCAGGTGGAAGTAGTCGATAAAGGCTAGTAAAAACAAATGAACCGATTACGTAATGTTAGATTGTAGGGGAAGGAAATGAAACACGTCTATAATGAATATAAGATAAGATTAAGGGATGATAAGAAAGGGGTTGGAAATATAAATAAAGGGTGGTGTAGAAGTCTTTCGTTGGTTGTGTCTTATTAGGCCACGGGAGGGATATTGATATAAGTATAAAACTTGGGCACTGTGGTAGAGTATAATTCCATTATAGATAAGATTTTATTTTGATAAATCGCACAGTGTTTACAGTAATGTTTACTGATGACGTTTCGAGCACAATTTATTGCTCATAATCATATCAAGGTAATCACACGACTTCCTAAATTCATTTATATAGTTCCATTGTTTTTCTCTTGATTTTCACTTGATTTGATTGGTAATAGTATTTTCCATATTTCAGGTATGAGTGACGAGTCATTCCTATTGCATGTGTTGGGTGTAGACTCGATGAACAAGGATTCAGTAATCAACCTCTCTCTCCACCTACCTAGATTACTTTTTAGAATTTTAACCCTCTCCCACCCTATTGTGTGGTTGTGTGTTAGCGCATGCATTGCAATTGCTGAGCTTTTTTCTAAATTACTTATCTTCTCGGGGTCAGGGACAAGCCCTGTAGGTTAAAGGACCCAGTTGACCCAATTAGACAAAATAATATTATTTACAAAATACCATGCAATGACTGTGAGGTCAACTACATAGGTCAAACTAGTAGGTCAGGGGTAGTCAGATTATCAGAGCATAAAAATTTAGCTAAGGTAAGGATGGTTGACCCCGAGAAGATAAATAATTTAGAAAAAAGCTCAGCAATCGCAATGCATGCGTTAACACACAACCACACAATAGGGTGGGAGAGGGTTAAAATTCTAAAAAGTAATCTAGGTAGGTGGAGAGAGAGGTTGATTACTGAATCCTTGTTCATCGAGTCTACACCCAACACATGCAATAGGAATGACTCGTCACTCATACCTGAAATATGGAAAATACTATTACCAATCAAATCAAGTGAAAATCAAGAGAAAAACAATGGAACTATATAAATGAATTTAGGAAGTCGTGTGATTACCTTGATATGATTATGAGCAATAAATTGTGCTCGAAACGTCATCAGTAAACATTACTGTAAACACTGTGCGATTTATCAAAATAAAATCTTATCTATAATGGAATTATACTCTACCACAGTGCCCAAGTTTTATACTTATATCAATATCCCTCCCGTGGCCTAATAAGACACAACCAACGAAAGACTTCTACACCACCCTTTATTTATATTTCCAACCCCTTTCTTATCATCCCTTAATCTTATCTTATATTCATTATAGACGTGTTTCATTTCCTTCCCCTACAATCTAACATTACGTAATCGGTTCATTTGTTTTTACTAGCCTTTATCGACTACTTCCACCTGAACAATTGTTTGTTTAATCACGGAATATACACATTGGGTCATAGGAGTTATTAAGAAGACAATTGCAGGGAAGAAAATTTTCTTTTTGACGAAGTCATCATCTTGGCTGTACAGGGATTAAGAAAAACTTAAAATAACAAGAATAAACAGGAAGTTTAGGTAAGAAAGGCTATGGGATGGGCATTACTAAAAAAATTACCTTTGTTACGATGGCCATGGCAAGGACAGGGGTTGGACGTACGGCCAACGTACTCAGCTCCACAAGAGCAAGTAAACTGGTATATGGACGTTGAGGTGGCCCAATGCGACAGCTTGTCTTTCGCGTTCTGGCTGAACAGTTTCTTGCAGGAAAACGTCAGTCGTAGGCTCGCGATTTGGAGAGGCGTTTGCGAAGGATTTCTGCTTCAATATCACCTTTGAATTCTAGATCAAGCAGAAGTATTTTCTTTGGAATGGAATGGACTTGTTCGGAAGTCTTCTTACATTTGAGATTCTTGTCTATGAATCTTGGCGGGAAACCGTTTTCCATCATGGTTTTTCGAAGATTACGCAGTTCTTCTTCAACCACTTCCTCGCTGCATATCTTCCTAATCCTCGAGGAAAGAGCGTATATCAGGTTCCTCTTTCTACTCAGGGGCACGAAGCTTTGAAAGTTGATGAATTGTCCATTCCATGTAGGCTTTTTGTATATGGACCTTTTCAGAGAGTTGTCGGCGTTTCTTGTTTGTTTAATCATACTGTTTTTCATTATTCGTGTTATCACAGATTGCCTCATTTTTTCATCCTTATTATTGATAAGACCATTATTATTATTATTACTATTATTAATATTATCATTACCACTATTATGACTAACTGCACAATTTATATTCAGCATCGTATTATCATATAGACAAAATACCATGATTGGTTTATATTTGAATTTTTATTTGTAAACTTATATATATTAGAGTTAAGCCTGATGAGATCTAATTGAAAACAATATTGTTCGCTTAAATGTGTTGTTCTAAATTTTACTATGGGAATATTTAATATAATGAAAAATTATTACATTTCTTACCTGAAATAAAGACACTTTACTTAATGTATGATAATGTACACTGATGGCTAAATCACTTTTCAGCTTTATCGGTAAAGATTCGAACAACGAGTTTTCATCTAAGAGTAAAGAAAAAGAGATATTACACACACAGACAATAAGTTCAATCAAATGAACATATTTATTGTTATTCATCCGTATCTCCTCACTATAAACTTGTAGATTATTGAATAAACTATGTACAAAGTAGCTATGCTTTGTTTAATGTTAGCTAAAGCAGTGGAACTGATTGCACAGACTGGAAGAAATCCTTAGCTACAGAAGTATTCGAAACACGTACCTTTGGGTTGTTGCCAACTGCTTACAACTGCTAAGAAGTTCTAAGAAGCAAAGTAAGGACTATTGATTCTATTCCTGTCTTTGTATAAATCGCTTAATATGAGTAATTATCAGGCCATACAGTCTCATCCGGTACACTTCTGAAAAGTTCTGTTTCTCCTGAGTTATCTGACATACGGTTTTTAAATGTTAGACAAGATCTAAAACTGCTCATTCACCAGGTACGCAAATTTATTTTCCACAATTTCAGATCCAACGAACACATCAGAATTGATATTTATCTCTGGTTTCTAAGAGACATTACGTTGACATTTCCCTAATTCATAGGTTTTCATCGTGAAGGGAAGAACATAAAACTAATGGAAACTTGGGGCAACGGAAACAAAAAATATGTAATAATCGTCATTTAGCATGATTTAATCTGTTAAAAAATATTTGACATTTTCAAGAGTTAGTTTGTAGGGGCCTTATTTGTTTCAGTTTTGATCAAAGATTGATATCAGTTGTAGAACCGGTGAAATCCACCAGGAAGTACTGGGCAGCTGTTTCGTCCAAGCTTGGGACTCATTGCTAGTACGAAATCACCACAAGGGTTCGAACTCACGAAATTTTGGCTACAAGGCCAGCTCATACATCATTCAGCCGTTGGGATCTGTCTCGATGACCAGCCCATGAATTCTAACTTTTACGAATTCGTGATTTTATTGCAACTAGCACTAGCCAGCGTCATCTGTGGCGAGTATTTGTGCTCACTCCCAACCGGATGGACCTCACTGGTGACGATATGTAAGAAGAATTCCGAGGAACTTTGTCTTGTAGCCAGTTGCTGGCAGGTGTCATTAATCTGATATCAATTTGTGATCAAACTGGAAACTATTAAACATCTTGAAAACATTTATTTTCCGATACGAATTTAAAACAAGCAATAAAGGTTAATAAAGCAGGATTTAATAAAATCATCAAATTTCGGTGGAACTCATCAGCTGAATACTCTATATACACGGATATATGTACTTTTGAAATTATATTGGGAGATATAAGACTGATAAGTAAACAAACTACATTGAATTAATCATGCAGAAAGACACGTGCGAATGTTTTCCAGGTCATGTTCAAATAGATAAGTTGAGAGAGAGAGAGAGAGAGAGTATGAGAGATCAAAATTAAGATAAATTGCATTACTCTTCAATTACATCACTTAGATAAACAATTAGTCATTAGGGTATATAACAAGAATTGCAAACAGAGTAATATCAGTAGTACCAGTTATAATAAAATTAGGAATAATAGTGTTGAAGTGGGTTAAGATAATCCTACTGATAAAGGATAGTTTTAAATGAATCAATAATAATAATAATGATAATAATAGGTAGAATAATAATACTAAGTAAAGAATAATAAGTAAAACGTATTACCATGGTAGATTCAGAGTCACGACCGTCTGCTTTTGTACACAGAGACCTGGTTTAAAAACTCGAATCGTACAAGCCTCTGCAATTGCAAGCATCTTCTTGTTTCTTTGTCTGCTGACAATAGTGAGTGACTTCATTAAATCCTACTTTATTAACCTTTATTGTTTATTTAACCTCTGAAGAACTGGATGCTACGACCGAATCGCAGTTTAATTACTAGGCCAGTGGATTGTAGTTTTCTCTATTTAATAATCCAGCTGAGAATCAGTCTAAAAGGTGGCGAATTCAAGTTCCGAAAGAAGATTCAATCTCATTTTAAATTTCTTTCTATAAGCGATTTGTTTATGGAATCCTATGATGCCTTTATACTCATTTCACTGCAAAATAAACAAATTCAATGCTCCAATACTATACTACTAGTAAGTAGTTGCGTAAGTTTCGTTTAATTAAATAACTGATTGGAAATATTTTGTTTTAAAAGGTAGTTCAATTTACATATAATAAATCGTGATAGATGTTGAAATGACGTGTATGTAAGTATGCAAATATATGGTCCTACTTCGATTGTCACGAGAAGGATTTTCGATTTGATCTAGGTAGAATTAGAAAAATGTGTCGTCTAGTTTGATACAGCTCACCAATATGAACTGAATATTCAAGGGATCAAGCCTTCAATAATGGCTTCACAAGCTGAGAGGGTTAATATTTCCTTGTGGAGTTACAATCCCAATCTGAGCAATCCTAATGATTTGAATTTCTTATTAGAACATCGAGAAATACGTTTACAAGTGAACGGTGGGTATTCCATTGATTAACACGTGGATTTTATCACACTAAGCTGAAATTTATATCAGTAAAAAGTTTGAGCATTGTGGATTAGATCAAACAAATTATAATTATATTTCAGTAGTTTACACACGATGATAAGTTTTTGTTATTGATAATATTTTGAGCAAAATTACTGCCCGTGTTCACACCACTGTTGGAATTGTTTTATTCACACATTTATGATTTGTACTCATATATATAGTTCATTATTACATATTTTACTGCTCATTCATGTGGTTGTTTTGTGTGTGTGTGTGTGTACAGAATTATATTTCACCTTCATTCATATGTTTGTATTTAGAATGATATCCCAAGTTGTTGATAGTTGTACTGAGTCACCCTTGTTACATGTATCCGGTGTGACTTTAATGAATATCGATTCTGTTATAAGTCTTTCTTTTCATTTGTTCATGTTTGTTTTAGAATACACACATTGTCCAATCGATAATGTGGTTTTTGTCCCATTCATGTGCAGCTATCAATGAATTTTTTTCAAGATTCTTGTAAGCCTGTGTCCCTGTTGGTTGACCTTTGGTTAGGCGTTTATGTTCATTCACTCTTATTTTGAGTGATCTGGACGTTTGCCCCACATATTTAGTCGGACAGTCAGAACAAGACATTTTATAAGTCAAATTGTTTTTATCCATCATTTTTAATGGGATCTTTCAGTGGATTTACTTTATTTTTGATTAGATTTGTCGGTTTAAACGTTGTTCGAATACTGAAAATGCTCGAAATATTACCAATAACAAAAACTTATCATTGTGTGTAAACTATTGAAACATAATTATAATTTATTAAGCTGAAATTTGTTCATAACTAATGTTACCAAATTATCAAACAATAACCTATGATTATAAGAGATATTCAAATGGCTCTCTGCTTATTTGAGACACAAAACACCAAACTAAAACTTGGTAAAAACAACTTTTATTTTGTTATTTTGTCTCTTTACGTTCCCAGTAGATCACAGGGCTGTTAACTAATAATTCCAAGTTCATATCCTTGTTTTGTTGCTATTATCCCCTTGATTTCTGAGTGGAATATCTGAATTCAACAGACCATCTCCATTTTTTCCCTTTCTCTGCGGTCCTCTTCATCTGTCAAGCTCTCTTCTACTTCTCACACGATTGCCTCTATGTCACCCTCAGATCTAGACTCAGTTCTCTGTTTCTTACCCGAGTTCAGCTGACTTGCAATGTCACTCAGCGGTCTCCTTTGTGTCTGACCGATCCCTCTCCACTTTCCTAATCATATTTATTGAGTAAAAAGCTCTTGATTGGTTCGTTCCCAGGGTTCCTTGTTGCCAGTTCTTTCTGGCCGTCCATATGACCTTCAATATTGAGGGAAGTCGGCTGCTGATAAATTCTGCAGTAGCATGTTGGGAATGCTTTTAGTGTAGCAACAAGTTTCTAACCCATGTGTAACAACTGACTGACTTAACCTTTGTATCGAAAATCCGAATTTTGTCCTTTACACTTAATATAGATGTTAAAACTGACTTCAGATTGATGAAGATGTGTCTTGCTTTCCCCAGTGTGGGTTTGACATCATCATCCGTGGGGCGTGCCTGTGTTTCAGAATATTTTATCTAGGTAAGTGGAAGAAAAGTCCTATTTTAAATTTCTTCTGCTGGTGGTGACTGATGTTTGTTTGTTGGTTGATTATTTTCATTACCTCCGTCTTCTCTGTGAAGCTCTTCTGCTATTCTGTTGTTTTTCACCTGAAAGTCTTCGAGTTAGTGAGTATTAGACATAAATCGTCAGCAAAGTAGAAATTTCGTATAGTCTCCTTATTGGTTTAAAGTATTCCTGTCTTGTCGCTCCACCACAATTAGCGATATCATCGGTAATTGCAGATAGCCTTATCCAACTCCTGTATTTACTTCAAACGCTTAGTATCCCACCTGACTTTAAATGGTTCCATTGGATAGGCAGTATTACTTGCCTCAATATCTTTTTGAATGAAGCTTTTGAATAAACATAGATCTGGTTTTCTAGAGAGAGAGAGCTCTGGATCTAGAGCCAAAGTGAGATGAGGATCTAATTAAAAAGTTAATATTTCTTCGCTCAATCTTTCTGTTTTCTAAAAGTTTAAAGGATTAATTGAAAAAGTAACATATAGAAGACAGGTATCTTTTGTGTATCTTCCGCTGTAACTTACCAAATGTTTTTTGTTGATCCCAATTATACATGAACCAACTGCGAACTTTATTCACAACATGTTCTGGTGCATGCAAATGTTGCATAGATGATAATGTGGCATCCATTATCTTACGATAATTCACTTTATTTGCACTTGCTGAGTCTAATATATCAATCACCTGAAAAAAATTAAAACAAAAGCAAAATCAAAACAAAAAGGCAAGTTAATTCAAGTGGACGAGTGACTAATTCAAAGCTAATGAACGAAATATACACAGAAGTTCAAGGTAAAACTTCGCTGTATTTTCCATGAGAAATAAAAAAGAAAAAAAACATTCAAACCGCATTTTTTGCTTGATTTAGTTAACCAATAAAAATGATGCAAAAATTACGAGGTAGCTTTGTCTATGTACACTGTTGTTGTTGTTGCTAAACGGGGATGAAACTTTCTGGTGTTTAGACCATGTTGATTTAGACGACAGACATTTTGACGGTAAAGTCGTCTGAATAATCACTCCTGAAAGATCTTATCGTTAATATTTATACTTACTTGGGTGTTTCAACCTCGCCAAGATTACTAGCTCGCTAGTTTTTTAGCCGGTGCCAAGCCCGGATAAAGAGGGAGGGTTGGAGCGTGGTGCTAGCAACTCCAACCTCAAAACTTAACCAAATTGTTACAGAAACTTCAATGCACAGATATATTAAAAATTCTAAAAATATGAACAAGAACCTTATCTTTTGCTGGAATCGGGGAAGTGAAATGGCGCAGGCTGGTAAAATCCTTCGGGAAGTCAGTCTTTCGATGAAAGCAAAAGTAAGGATGGGGACGTGGAATGTTCCTATAATGTACGAAGCCAGCTGTTAAGGCTGTCCAGGTAGCCGCAGAAGTGAGAAGATATAGAATAGAAGTGTCGGGAATCTGCAAGAGCGGATGGAACGGATGTGGAAAGTGCCAACTACCAACTGGAGAGGCAATAATCTATTCCGGTCACCCAGAGGACAATCACGAACACATCGAGGGAGTGGCCATTATGATGTCACCAATAGCAGCCAAAGCTCTCATGCAGTAGGAACCAGTCTCCTCCAGGATAATGACAGCTGGTTTCAACTCAAAAGGAAGGCCGCTGGGTGACATCACGCGTCAGGCGACTGCTCGAGTGGAACTAGGCTGAAAGGGAAGCGGCGAGTGGGGCGTCAGTGCAAGGGTGACATGGAGGAGATTGTGTGAAGAGGTGTTGAAACAGTATGGACTAACATGGATTCAGGTGAAAAGTAGAGCAGAAGGAAGACAGAAGCAAGTGGAGACGTGCAGTTGAAGCCCTATGTTCCACTAGGAACCCAAGGGAACAATAATAACAATAAATTTGGTTGTTTCAACTAACTCTGTAATTATTACCCCTTCTTCTCCTAGACTGTTGCGTATCATTGTTGTGACATTTGCATATAACATGTTGACTTCATATCGATTATTTGTCTTTGTTCCCGTCTGATCTCTAGTGCTTTCCTCAGTGGTTGTGCGACAGTATTGATAATGTGTTGTTTTACAAGGCGATTTTGTTTGAGTGAATCAAGATAGATTATTCTGATATTGGATTGTCTGTGGGAAGCCTCAGTGTGTGATTCTTGTAGAAAGAGAGTTTTCATCCCACTTTGTTGGGAATATTTTGCTTCATTCTGAGTACTTGTTTTTCACCTAGACTGGACCGCATAGCTACCTAACACCACTACTGAGGTAATTTTGATTTTTTAAAATTTTATTATTGTTGTTTAATAGAACCACAGATTTATCGATGAATAATCATCTTTTTCCTGTCTTTGGAGCTTCACATGGCCGGGTGTGTCTCAAGAAGTTTTGCCAGCTGTATAATGGGACGCAGAGGTTGGTTTCATGCTCTCAAACTAGGCATTTCTTTTCGTTATTGATGATAAGGAATATATTTAATTCCCACAGGCAGTCGAAAAAAATTGATTGTTCATGTCAATTATTTAAGACAACGTGAGCTATTGAGGATATTAACATTATGACTTTTCCTTTAAATTAATTAGTATGCTCTGATGTGTAGGTCATAAAGTAGGTATGTTAAGACCCTTTATGATAGCCGATGAACAACACGATACAATTTTTCTCCAGTTTCAAGTTTGATCGTGGATTGGCATCATTTAGAGAACCATTGAAAACAACCAAGAAGTACTGGACAGTTGTTTTGTCTTGGATTGGGATTCATCGGCAATATGAGTCCACCGCAGTGGTGCGAACCTACAACCTTCTGACTACAAGTCAAGCTCGTATATCATTCAGTCACTGTGACCCGACTCTGTGACCAGCCCATGAATTCTAACTTCTAACAGTGCCATCTGTGGAGAGTATTTGTTTCTACTCCCGACTGCGTGTACCTCATCGGTGACGACTTTTGACTAGAATTCCAGTCAGCTTCGTCCTGACTGCAGTTCTAGTCAGTGCTTTCACTTTAACCGTTTCTCTTTCGGTTTATTTGTAATTTGTATCCACTAATTGAGTTGAACTCAACACATTACTATACAACACATTAGTTATCTACCACCAACTCCTCTTCTAAGTATCCAAACCTACTGAGTTAACTGGAATCTACTGAGAATAAAATATATAAGTTTAAATTATGTACACATTTTGTTTGTTACTTTAGAGTCACCTGTTGACTGACAACAGGGCATCCTTTCATCAGATACCTGATAAATCTTCCTGTACATACATACTTTAATTTTTGTAGGTTGTGTGAGGCTGACAAGAAATCGATGAAATAAAAACAATATCAACTTATTCTACCCCATCTATCATTGTTATTACTATTATTATTCGTTGGCTGCGTTCCAAGTGAAGAGTAGGGCTTTAGCTACCTACGAAGGTTGTTATTCTGAAGTTAATCTGATACTCAGGATTGCTCAGAATTGTATCCTATAAATAATAATGATTTGCTTTATTCCTAAAACAGTACTTGGGACAGAGTATGGAATTCTCAGCATTTGTCACAATATTGCATCTAATTTACCCCACAACAACAAAAAACAAGAATAAAAAGTAATATTACAATGTATACGTAATCAGAATTGATGATAGAAGTGACAACAACATCAGAAATCTACATAAAGTGTAAAATAATAATATTACTAGCTAAAATTATAAGATAACTAAAATAGCGTGACATTAAAATTACAGATAGCAGAATATAAAAGAACCATTTGTTTTGCTAATTACACGGAAAGTTATAGGTATCATTCTTAAAACTATCTCTGTCAAACAGAATGCGGACCGAATGGGATATCGTTGAATTTTTGTACTCACTTGTAGGAGTATACAATCTTTTATAATGACTTCTAGTGCTACCTGATTAAATGTAAGAGAAGAGGTACGAATAAAGTGGGTGTCGAGAGTTAGGCAATATGAATTTAGCCCATTTCTCACATGCGTTCGTTTGCCTGTTGACTACTATGGTGGACTTTGTTGACTTAGTGAAATACAAGTTAACATACTGATAACCTCTAATACCCCCTCGAAATATGAAACAGTCTTTTTTGAATGACTTTGGAAAGACTAAGGGCGGGGGAGAGGGTCTGGGAAATAAGGAGCAGTTCTTAAGATCCAACAAACTGTAAATCTAAAAGTTGAGTGATTTTTTTCCCTTCACGTTCCCCAGTGGAACATAGGGCTTAAAGCTGTTGGTTTGAAGTTCCTGTAGCAGTGATGGTTATTTTTACAGGATGGGGTTGCTGGCCTTATGTCCAACCTTTCCTCTTCACCAGCATTATTTCTGGCTTAGCGAAGTAAAGGAGTGGGTCAGCCGGGGATCGAACCCCGAACCATGTGCATGGTCGGCGATCGCCCAAACCGCTGTGTCACTGACGAACTTGAGTGATTTTAGATTGTCCTAACTTCTTGATGTAGGAGATAAGACAGAAGATTTACTTAGGAATCAACGAGATATGGACAACAATGAATGGGTTACTTTATGCTTGGCTTAGTTTCCATTTCAGTGTCCTCTATATCACAGCACCACGTAAACTAGCAGGATCCAGGAGATCACTTTGTGCTCGAGGGTGAAGTTAGCTGTGTGACATGTAGGGCGACTTATTGATGGACCATTTAGCTTGGGCCACCAGCTTACGTCTGACAAAATGGTGTTCACTTTGGAACATTCCGATAACGAAGTAACTGGCAACGAGACAGTCAGATCATTAGGTTATCTACCGAAGTTGATTTCTCCTGAAAGACGAAATTCCTGTAAGAAGGAAGGGAGAAGAAGAGAGTGAATGACACCTTGAGGGTCTTAAGCTTCAGTATGCAAGGCAGGGGAAGACTGGCCTTTTTAAATCTACTATACCCCATTCTGTTCAAAAAATAAGAATGGTACTGGTTAACTGCCCACGACTGGATTTGTGCAGTGGAAAGCTTATTTAAAAAGAGGTATCTGGGTATTGTGTCAAAAGCCGATGTTTATTAAAGGAAGGTAAAACGGACACATTTATATTCTTTGTCCAACCAGGAAACAATATTATGATGTAAAACAGAAGCAGCATCTTAATTACTTATGCGCTGTTTAGATGCAAACTATTTGGGGTCATTACAACTTTGTAAGGAAGGTTCGAAATTTGGTGGCAGTAATTTTTCCATTATGTTCAAAAAAGAAGTATTTGCAATAGATCTAAATTCAACAGTCGCACCGGTACATGATTTGGATACCAGGATAATTTTAATGCCTTTTAATGCTATGGGTGCAACATTATTGGTAAAAGAAGCATTGGAAATGTTTGTTAAGGATAACATAAAATATCTGCACATCTTATGAGGACAAGAAATGGTATATCCCTTGGGATCAAGGCTTTCGGAAGGTTAAAGAGACTTGAGATATTTGAGAACACCATGAGTGTTAAGGCTATGAAAGTTACTAACATTATGACCAATTACAGTATATCATTATGAGCTGTTTCGTCCTAGTCCGGAACTCTTCATCGGTACATACCCGCCACAGGGGTTCGAACCCACGACCTTCTGGTTACAAGGCGAGCTCGTAGACAATGAAGACACTGGGACCCGATCAATTGCCCATGAGTTTCAACTCCTGCCAGTTCACAACATAGAGAACTCTGGTGCGTGCTTATTGATTAAGAGTTTCAAACTCAAGCAAAACATCTATCAGTACTTCCAGATTTTCCAGTGGTTCCCCACCGATGTCAGCTCATGATGAAATCCTGTAACCAACCAATCAGATCCCTGTAAACCAATACTTGAATTCTGATTTGTAGCATTAGTAATGAAAACGTCAGTAGAAGAGCGCATGAAAGATTTGTTAAGAGTATTTACATCAAAACGGGGAACAGTAATACCTTACTTAGCATTGCACTAATTTTACTACAGAGTTTCCACATGTTTGACGGAGTTATACATGACAGAAGTCTTTGTTTATAAATAATATTCTGGACTTTGAATTTCAGATTTGATTACGATGTTTGTCTTATTTAGACCGGGATTTATCTTTAGGCTTGAATAACCTTTCTTTTTTCCCTACGTATCTAAAATATTGGCATCATTATGTGTTATTGTCTTCCATCGACATCTCATTTACAGAACTCAAATTCCATGTGTGGATCAACCCTAGTTCATTTATCGACAGTGCACGAGACCTAGCATTGGATTCTCCAGGTCGTAACTTATTTTTATTTTTTTATTTTTGATTACAGCTTGATTCCATACCGTATTTTTGGGACAAGTATGGAATTTTCAGCGTGGATATGGGTAGCCCAAATTTCGCAGGCCGACCATAGATATCAGGTGTGCGTCTGTGTGGGCTCGAATCCCGGACCATGTGCATGGTAGGCGAGGATCCTAACCACTGTGCCACCGTTGGGACAATTGAATTATGTATACTAATTGGTAGCTGACTGTGTGTTTTTCGAAGCTTACTAACAATATGTACAGTATCATCATCAATCAGCTGACATAACAGTGTTATGTACTGTGCTGCATTGTCATCTAAATTCATACTTCACTCAGCATCCCCCTCTAATTACAGTGTTCCTCAACACATAACAGTGTAGCGGTGTGTTGTGAACTGGCAGAGGTTAGAATTCATGGGCCATTGGATCGCCTTGTAACCAGAAGGTCCTGGGTTCGAGCCCTGTATTGGGTGCGTACTGATGAAGAGTCCCAAACTAGGACGAAACAGCTGTCCGGTGCTCCCAGCTGGTTTTTCAATGGTTCTCTAACTGATGCCAGCTCATGACGAAATCCTCTATCTTTTCTTTGACTTATCACATAATCGGCATATTTTGATTTTACCCCTTAAACTAGACAGATATGTTGATTGTCATCGCAATAAATTTGTAATAAATTTTATTGTCTTTACGCTCCTTTTTCAACACTGTTCATTTTTATGAATTTACTTGAATTACGTCTTACCTGACCAATAAGAATGGCGGACACCAGGATTCCACTTAACCAATAACATGTCATAAATAAAAATTCATAACTATTTGTTGCTGACGGTAATGATCCAATTGAAGTTGCAGTTTTCATACACACATAGAATGCGTATACATAACTAAAATTGAAATAATTTAAAAAAAACAAGAGTAATTCAGTGTGTAATAATAACAGTCAACTGCAGACATATTCCGAAATAAGCATTTCTGGTTAATTGGAAGAAAGCTATGCGCTTAGGTTTTATATTCTCTGGTATTGGTTGACAAAAAAGAGACAAAGTTCTTATTTGCGTTGGTGGTGACTAGTAGTGGAATCCGTTGATGCACATTTTATACTGTTTGAGTCTCGAAAGCTGGGTTTACTAGCATTCCCAGTGAGCAATAGTTTCCCCACTAAAACTCGAACCTTGCATCCATCATTTCAAACACCAAAGTATATCAACAGAGACCTGGTATTTCTATGCAGAATGATCAGTCAACGGGAAATGTAAATTGAGCCTCAAAGAAAATCAGCTCTTCTTGCTTCTCTTGAAGACTAGAACCTTAGTCACTTAGGCATGATGCGAGGAGCTCCATTACCCACGATACTCCATTTCGCCTTTCTCCGCGTGATGATCAGATGACTACTGGAAACTCCTAAAAGGGTGAACAACAGGTGAACTATGGCAGCTTCCCCTACGAAGTGAAGTGACACAATCCTCAAATACTCCATCTTCTCAGGGAATCAATAATACATATCGCTAAACATTATACGAGTAGTCTGTTTACTTCCACTTCCGTATTTCACCAACCTCTACTCTTAGATTCAGGATTCCGATTACTTAATTGTAATCTTATCCACTGTAGATTTCTCCCTGAAGTGATGTTAGCTAAGGAGTCACTGGACAATCTTTTGGTCCCAGCTTTAGGCATTTCAGGGATAGACATATTTCAGACCCCAAAAGACGATAAACCCAACTACTACCAGGAAGCAAATCGTAAATATCGCAAATGTTCATGAGAATATTAACTTTCAAATGCATCATTTTGTTATTTTATTTATTGTTCCCTTGGGTTTCAAGTGAAACAGAGGGTTTCAACAACACATTTACACTTTCTTCTATTTTCTGGTCTCCTCTTCAGATGGGCCCAAGATTGCCTATAATCTGTCATTTCTTCCTCGCACATTGTCTTTCATGTCAACCTCGCACTGACGAACCACTAATCACTTTCCATATTGATTCCTCTACAGTGATGTTCTGCATCGCGGCCGATATCATTTGACGGTTTCCTCAGTATATGCCCGATCCGCCTCCATTTTCTGTTGAGCAATCGGCTCTTGGTTGGTTTGTTCCTAGCCAGAGTTTCTTAATGATAATTCTTTCTGACAGGCTGTCCATTTGATCTTCAGTGTGGAGTCTGTGAAGGGGTCAGCTGTTGTTAAATGTCTGCGGTAGCCAGTAGAATATGCCCTTCACGATGCACTATATTTCTGACCCATATAGAAGAACTGATCTCGCCTAGTTTACTAGCTTACTAGTTTTATAATCAGTCCCAAGCCTGGGAAAATAGGGCGGGTCAAGTGTGAGCCTAGGGACCCTGGCGATCCTGAAAATCAGTCGAACTTCAACACACAAGAAAAGTATTGAAGATCCATCATTTCACTGTAAGCCAAATATCTAGATTACTTCTTGTGTAAAATGTTCACAGATTTTCCATTTAATTTTTAACTTGAGGAGTATTTTACCATTAATTATGCATGATAATATGCGAACAAATTTTGTTACAAACTGATACAGTTAAGAAACCACTGAAAACCAGGGTAGAATAACAGGCGTTTTTTCCTAGTTTGGAGCCCTTCTATGGTGCGCATCTACCACTTTGCGTGAATGGCAAATAGGCTTACCTTCTTAAAATTAAGCTCCTGGGTTTGGTGTCTGCCGGTTTTCGCTACAAACCTCTGAAGAGTCTCATACTAGGACGAAACAGCTTTTATATGCTACTTGCCGTTTAGTAGTTTTCTAAGTGATGTCAGTCAATTCAAATACCATCCAGAAGCTGAAAACCACGTGAGTACACTAAATAACTGGAAGAATACCGGTTAGTCAGTTAGTTAGTAAGTCAATAGAATTACAAGCTACATAAGAAGAACTAGAAGGTGGTTTGTTTATACGATCTCAGTGATCATATGAGCAAGTTGTTTACTCTAGGTTGTCCTGATGTGACTTTATTTTTTCCTGTCATCAAATGAAATCACGTGATGTTTATTTATTAGTCTAGTTGAAAAGTAGTCATGATATGATCCATTTTTTGTTTTGTTTTAATTCACTTAACAAATATGGTATTATAGTTGAAATTAAGTCTGAAAAGTAATTGTCTTGTACTGCTACAAATTGTATCACCTTATTTTTAACTCATTCACAGGCTGGTTTGTTGGACAGTAGATTCCGTGATACGTGAACAAGAGGAATGGTTTTATTGCATATCCCTGATAACTGTAACATAGTAATCTGTTGCTATGGTGGTTTAGTGACCAGTTATATTTTCTGTACGCTTTCTAAATGAAATTTTAGGTTAACAAATTTTTTTCTTGGGTACATAATATCAGCGGCGTTATGTCTTGAACTGCGTTACACTTCCTATCTTCTGTCAACAAATGTAGGTTGATACCGATATCCCAGTAATGTGATAGATTAATAGAGGCAGTAAGCTCTAAAGTTAAACGTTAACTTTTTAGTTTTCATGAAATCATACCAGTAGATTTAGTACATTCATTGAAATGCATTAATACTTTGTGAGATCTTGTATACTGGCTGCTAAAGAGTCACAAATTAAATTTACCGGTGTTCTTTGTCTTTCATTAGTTTTATATATCGTGTTAATTCCTTTCAAACTGAAATATTTTATTTATTTTATTTTTGTTTTTGATTTACAGCTTGATTCCATACAGCATTTTTGGTACAAGTATGGAATTTTCAGCATGGATATCGGTAGCCCAAATTTTGCAGGCCGACCATAGATATCAGGTGTGCGCCGGCGTGGGCTCGAACCCGGACCATGTGCATGGTCGGCGAGAGTCCTAACCACTGTGCCACCGACGAACTATAGTTCGTATATACAGTATACTGTTTGATCAGAGCTATATTTTCATCGAAAACGTCATAGTTTCCATGGTAAGGCCAATATGGCCAGCATTAGACACTGAAAATGTATAATATCATTCCGAGGACTCTAGCACGACAAAGATTCTTGTCGAATATATCTTGTTAATGTACTTCCAATGATGTATTATCCGTGATTGTACTTTACATCATTTTGCAGATTCTCAAGACGTCCTCCTATTCCCAAATGTACGCTGTTCACTGGCTGACTATAACTTTAAGAGTGTCAGAGTAGAAAATTTGGGCCAAACCGTGTGATACTACTGTGATGAGGGAAGACAAGGGCCAAGCAACAGATCGTTTACTGAGAAGATCAAGAGATATTTATAGATTTTTATGTTTTTTTATTTTATTTTTTGTTTATAGCTTGATTCCACACCGTATTTTTGATACAAGTATGAAATTTTCAGCATATGATATCGGTAGCCCAAATTTTGCAGGTCAACCATAGATATCGGGTGTTCGTCGGCAGGGAATCGAACCCTGGACCATGTACCTCAATATTCGTTATTTTAGCAGAGATTGGTTGTTTTATTGCTGAAGGTTATTCTGTACTGGGAATCGTATTTGCACACGCTAAGTCTGCTGTGATTGGTTGTTGAGTTCCTCAAGATTATGCTTAGTTTTTGTTTTTTCTCATAACTCCGATTCGGGGCGTAAACATTGACGTAAATTGTTGTCTACAATTTTGGCTTGCAGACGGATCTCACCACACTATTATTTTGCTTAGTAACTTTGGTTAAACTGATCTGACTGGGTGATAGTTGAAGTCAAGTGAATATAAACTTCTGATGAAGTCAAAATTTAATGAAACGAAATAACTGAATGAAGTCTATTAAAGTATTAATGCTGTTAATGAAACTCTAATTACTCTCTCTTCTTATCACTTAGATCACATAGATCAACTTAGAATCTGATTTTTAGTGGAATCTTCAAATGTATGAGTAATGAGAAGACGTAAGGTCATCTTCCTAATGACTGTCAGTCTGTCTTCTATAAATTGCTTTACAAAAGTCCTATTATTAACAACAGGATAATGTTAGTTTCTTCCTACGATGTTGGCGTAAAGGTTTGTGAAATATTCAGAACTTTGAAGGTAAGTGAACTCGCAGTCTTATTTGAGAATTTGAAAGTGACGATTATGCAGCTTAAAAGCCCAGTTTTTAACTGTAGTACCTGGTGTTTCCTGGAGTAGTTACAGGGTTGTATATTTAATAGACGAAGACGTCAGGTTTTAGGTGCATATTCAGCGACTGATGGTCAAGTCTGTCGAGATGTTTTGGGACGTTCACGTGTTATTCGATGGTGGGTGGAAGCTCATCTACTAGAATTGTGGTGAGAGCAGGCTGCTAGCCAAATTGGTAGACACTAATTTACGTCAATGTTTATGTCCCAAACATTGGTCGTGAGAAAATATGAACAAAGACTGATTCAACAACCAACCACAGCAGACTTTGCGTAGGCGGATACAGTTAACATATAGATGATCTGGCATTCAAGAAACAGCCACAAAGAGATGCAAGGTTAACTTTCCGTGAGAAACAACCAATCAGAAGACTGTGTTTTTCTTCTAACAATAATCTATAATATGTACATGAAAATATATAAATATGTGTTGATTTCTTTATTCGACGATCTGTTGCCTGACTCTTGCCTTCTGTCGTTACAGAATGCGCCTTTGTGTTAAAATCAACAGTCTGGAGGCTTACTGCATGAAACAGGTATGTTGCTATTGTTTTTCGCATTATATGTGTATGCTCAGGCACTGATGTCACAAAATCTGTCACTGAGCATTGGCGTATTGTTTCTTCAGACGTCAGTAGCAATGTTAGTCGTATTAATTAGTCTTTATTGTCTGGGGATTATGAACCTTTTCTCCAAAATTAAAATCTCACTGTTCCTACTCAGAGTAATTCGTCTCTTTCGTCTTCTGTTTTAATGAATCCGTCTATCTATAAAGGATTAAAATATAGACTGTTAACTAATAACGATGCTTACTTATCCACAAAATGTATGCATTTACGGGTGGATTTTATCCCGAATACTGATACCTCCATTATGGATTTGTTGCGTTTCATAGGAATAACAACAAAAATCTACAGTGGCTAAAAGTCGAAATTTACTGTAGTGGTCTTCGAGTTACGAAGTTATATCGACGCATAAGATAAATGACTTTATGACGTCCAAAGGTATTTAGTGGTGGTTCAGTCCTCCAATTGCTTCTACCACGGTGGGATATTAGAAAGGATGGTATACATGGTTCGCGTTAGTGACTCCTAAGGAACACACCTTAAACAGTGGTTAGGACTCTCGCCGACCATGCACATGGTCCAGGGTTCGAGCCCACGCCGACGTACACCTGATATCTATGGTCGGCCTGCGGATTTTGGGCTACCGATATCCACGCTGAAAATTCCACACTTGTACCAAAAATACAGTGTGGAATCAAGCTGTAATCAAAAATAAATAATAAAAAATAATAAAATGAATAAATAAACGATGATACTTTGGCGAATCGTTTTGTAGAGGTTGAAAGAATTCTCATTGATCCTCCCATTGTCCAAGTGACGTCGGATAAGAAAGATAATTTAGCTCTAACGTTTAATAACCTCCTGCTGATGACAGATTATGATAGTTTTGCGACACCATTGCCAACAGATATTCTAAACGTTGGATAAGTGAATTGTCTAACCGATACCTTCTGACGCAAATAAGTTAGAGAGAGCATCCCGTTATTTCAGATTCTGCAGGAGTTGTTCTCAAGGTATAGGAACTTCATGGAAGGTGATGTAGTGCTGGTATGCAACGAAGTAACAGCGTCAGATGTGTGGCAAATGGGAATTACTGTAAGATATGACTAGAATATTGATGGTCTAGTGAGAACAGTGATAATGCATATGAAAAATGTTTTAACAGAGATGTTTGAAGACTTTACCCCTTGATTTAAGCTGTGGTGGAATTGTAGAGGCACGCTGTTATACGTCTTGGACCCCAGAAGTCAGAGACAGAACCATTAAAGAATGCATTAAAAAGTGTCTCAAAGTGTATGGAGGAATTTCGCTGGCTGGTATAACAGAATAATTGTTTGCGAAATTCTTCCTGAACAATCTGATTACAGATCCCAGCAGCAGTACTCATCGTATTGCTGTCTTTGAGGCGTTTCATGACTGCGCTTGTCTCAAAGAAGTTCTGTCAGGTATAAAGCAGGAAGCAGAGGTCGGTGTTCTCCCCCAGACTATAAGGAGTCGGTTTTGATCGTAACACCATGAAGTGAATTGTACTCATGACTTTCTCTAGTCTCAAATTAAAACGTTCATCACTTATAGCTGCAGACTAGAGACTAGATTTCATTCATTTTGAGCTGGAATTTGGTGTGGATTTGCATCATTTGGAGAATCAGTAAAGAGACTATGTTTTTCCTTAAAACCGATGAGATTATCACCAACTCACTGTTTGCTGATGACATTTATTTTTACTTCTTTTGTGCTACAGATGTGTAGAGCTAGAAACCGCTCATGTTGGCCAGTAGTGCTTTGTTAGCCATATCTAAATTATCTAGACAAGGGGTGGCTGTTTTCTCTCATTTTTGGACGAGCTGCATCAGAGATTCAACTGTGAGAGCAGATACTAGCACGTATTCCTGGTTGACATGTGTAGTTTCCAACTGCCCTTCATCACCATTTATATTTTCATGTATGATGATTTGAATATTCTGGGTTTCCTAACGAAATCCAGGTCAAGTTTCATCCCGGACTATATAATTTGTAAATGAATGCACCAATCAAGAACCCATTGCTTAACAAATATTCTGAAGAAAATGGAGATTTAGCAGACATTCGCTGAGGAGATCGTTGTATAACATCGCGCGTCAAATCATCACTCGAGTGGAACATGAATGGGAAACGGCGAGTTTCGCGTTAGCCAGAGGGTGACATGGGACAGATTGGTTGAGGAAGAGATAAAGGCGTATGGGAAATCGTGGAGCTGGCTGAAGAGGTACTGTTTAAGCCCTATGCCTCACTAAGAACTCAAGGGAATAATATTTATTATTATTATTACAACATTAATAAAAGTTTAACAGTTGAACTACACAAGCATTTATATACAATGATAAAGTTATGGAAAGTTTCAGGAGTCACATACAGATGGAAGTAGTCAATCATTTCAATTTGTCGTTCTTTTCCTCAAACACAACTGTATTAGTACTCAACAGAAATTTGTTCATATTTTCGAAGTGCAGGGATTTCACCATGAATTAATATCAGTTAGAGAACGATTGGAAACGACAGGGCATCAAAGAGCTACTTTGTCCCAGTTCAAGACCCTCTAGGGGTGTATAGTCATGGCCCCATAGACAATATACACTGAGGGTAGTTAAATCCCTACAAATCCAACATCTTGATGGTAATCTGCTGCACACTGACGACTGGCTTAAGGCTAGATGTCATGAATTTTATGGCTCCGAATACTGACTGATTGCACCAATTGCTGGTAATGCTATATCGCCACATAATAGAAGTTAAAATGCACGGTTCTTTTCAGTCTTGCCACCATAACCCTTTTTCAGCCTTGATGCTAACTCAGCCAACGCTAGCGCTTTAGGAAGTTACTGGATCACGCTGCGTTACAAATGTTCCAGCTACCTCTGTCGATGAAGAGTAACAACGTTACGATTTCATCTCATGCATCGTTATATGTGCCACCTCCAGCTATGTCTTATAGTCAGTGGATATCACACAGCCAGATGACATGTAGTGCATTATCCATTAAGAAGCTGTCACACATTTTGTCAGCACCAGAGAAGAAAAGAGTTGGAGGGTATTAAACGTACCTCTATGCTTTCTGATACTACTAATAACTTCCTGAATTCAGAAAATATCCACCAATCAGAAACACAGTTAAATACCAAAATTTAATTTAAAATACGCTCATCAAGAAAAAAATTCATTTTCTGTTGTAGCAGAAATGATGTTTCATATAACGTATACTGGTTTATTCGCACTAAACAACTCAATAGGCTTGGTTTATTGAAAAAAAATGTGATCTATATTCTGTAGACTTACGGTGAAATCTGACCTGGTTGAATTGTCCAAGATGTTGAACCTAAACCTTCCCATCGATTGAACAGATAATAACCACACGTTTCTATATGTATAATATATAACATGTAAATTATTGTCCGGGCAAGTCGTACTGCATAACCAGCGTTAAGACGTTGATCCAATTTTTCAAATGCTTCCCAAAATGCTTGAACCTAGGTGATATAATAAATATGAAGTTATTAAAAATTATTTTGACATCACTAACGTTTGATTAGCTGTTGCACCACGATGACAAAAGTGAACATTTATAGTCAATGGGGAGTAACACTTATCGGGTATTTAGCCTTACTTTAGACTGAACTCTATCAGTGAAGTTTGTAATGGGGTTACCAAGCTTGGGGACTCACCATCGCAGTGCAATATGAATTCGCAACGTCTCTTACTGTAGATATGAATGAAAAGGTCCGAATCTAGAGGAGGACATAAATTTCTATTCAACAGTGAGTAATTGTATAGGTTATACTCGCGTTGATTGTATTTTCCACTACGTCAATGATTTCCATAAATTTACAGCTATAAAGTCATCTAGAGTGTCTAAATCACATTAAGAAATCAAGAGTTATCTATTATTACCCATGTAATTTACAGTGATTCAGTAATAAATGCTAATGGTTAGGTGTTATGCAGCTGTAGGCTTTGTTACTGTTAATATCTAGGTGGAAAGTTAGTACAGTATGGATATCAAGAGATGCCCTTATCTATATCCAAGCACATGCCACCGGGCACCGAAATTACTTTTATGGTACTGTCATTTATGATACTTTATTACTTTTATGGATGCAGGCAGTGCTACGTAGGCAACGACTACCGCATTCACGAGGTCGCCACACATTCTCAGCCTGGAAAAGCCGAACTAGAGCTAAGTAAATTTTGGAAGCCACTCCGCATGGAAGAAATTTCCTTCCTGTTATGAACGTAATTCTGCTAGTTATTTACGCAATCACTGAGCTGATAAATTCACAATTTTGTATTTATAAAAACCCATTCCTAAATGATGTTTATTCGAAATTCTAAGGTAGGCATCCTAGTTCCCTTGAAAATCAGCAGCGTTTTTATGCATTGCTAATAGTTGCCAGCAGAAGATGCACCCAATATAGGGGTTACCGTTAACTGAATCTAAACTTCTAGTTATACAGTTATGTAAACTCAGTTTCCGGAAATTATTCTGATTATTAACTTAGGTAACTGTCAGATGTACAGCAGTTGAAAATGCTATGGTGCAGGCTACTCTATTGTTAAATATAAAGTCAATAATTGTGTCTTAGCAACCACTGAACTCCATAGATGAAATCTTCACTATGCCAACAATTAGGACATGCACAGTATGAATAAAATGTTCTAAAGTCAATGATACTAATGCGGACGTTTTCTTGTTAACAGAAACGATCGGTTGATAGGACGGACCGGATTCAAAGAGGTAGCTATCGTAGTTTATTGGCCTATTGTCTTTCAGAGTGATAGGTTATTGGTTGAAGTCTCAGTGAGAACATCACCATTTACTAGGATGTAGGTACATGCAACCTGTAAGTCTCAAACAGGATGGAATGTGCGTCCCGGATTTCACTGGTAGCCACTATCAGTTAAGTAGTGGAAATGTAGTTTCCTTATTCAGTCACCGTCATCAAGGGTAATCTGAATCCAGTTCTTATTTATTTATTCATTGCTTTTGTATAATTATACTTCATTGACATTGTATATTAATGCTGGCTTTGTTTTTATGAACGTTTGAAATACACAATTTATTTTTGGTTAGATCAATTGAAGGAACTTTCCGTGACTCACAACTACACATCAGTTTCTCAGTCCGGCCAATAATGATATAGTTACCACTGATGACTTCATCAATGTGTGTTTACAAACTGCTCCAGCGAAAATAGTCATAAAGGTCGAACTCAGAGGAATTTGTCTCTACTCGGTCGTGAACATGTTCTAGTCTGTCTTGAAGAAGGGGTAACCAAGTCAATAAATAGTGCCATTTTATCTAATCTAGATGAATACCACATCAAAACAGTCAGTCGTTTAAGGTTGTATATCGAGTACCAAATAATCTGACTAAAGGCATATAGTTACGTCTCCTAACTATAGCTGAAGCTATAAAGATGAATGAGAAAAAACCTGACCTATGTGTGTGAAAAAGCGCACTCATCCTGTTCGTTTACTCTGGCCACAAGAGACATAATCATTTCACATTTTTATGTCATATTACTTCATTCCGTTGTTATCCTTATTTATTATTTGTCAATCTTTGCAGTTTATACTAAGCTTCTCATGTCTCTAGTATTCTATTGCAGTTCACAATTCAAACTCCTTATTTCATCATCACCAGTCAGACCTCGAGCTTCAATTCAGTGTGCATCATTATTTTGTATCTATTTATTTTTGTTTTATTACAGCTTGATTCCTCACAGTAATTTTTGGTAGAAGTATGGAATTTTAAGCATGAGATATCGGTAGTCCAAATTTTGCATGCTCACCATAGATATCAGGTGTGCGCAGGCAGGGGATCGAACATTGGACCATGTGCATGGTCGGTGAGAGTCCTAACCACTGTCCCACCGACGCCACCGACAAAAACTACACAACCGAGCGCACCCGATTAAGGTCCGTTGCGGGTTTTAACCCACCGAGGTGCAATGGTGAGACTCCACCTGGGGTCAGAGCATTCTTGATCACCCTGAACCATGCGCCAGGTGAGTTTTGTGGTATTCATGCTTCCCTCACACCTTGGAATACTACTTTATCCCAAGTAAACTTATGCTATTCATCCCACTCCATTATATACTACTGTCAGATAAGAAATGTGATTAAAAAGAAACACATAATTTTATATTTTAAGCCATCATAATGAAAAAAACTGTTTGGTCAGTAGTATTTACCTTCAATAAACGTAGAACTCGAAAACGTGCCATATCCTTTTCATACAACAGTGAAAATAAATCCAGCGGAATAATTGATGCCATGTCAATCTACATTTTTATGGTTTTAAAAAGAGAAAATGGTGAGGAGATCTATGTCGAAAAACTATCGTGTTAAGAGGCATTAGGACAGGTGGCCAATAAACACACAAAGAATCCCAAGAGTTTAATTTATACTGAAGTTAGCGCTGATTTGACGCCTAGAAGGAAGATGAGAGCATCAGAATCATTCAGTTTGGAAAACACGACTACACCACTTACTGGATAATGGTCATTTACCGTAATCTAGGCGCTGGTCAATATATATATATATATACGTATGTATATGACTTTTCAGTGCAACCTTGAAAGTGACCACTTAGATACTCCTGATTGATATTTGGAAGAGTTCTGGTTAAGTTCACCATGCAGTATAATAAGAGACATTTTATACGATCTGAGAAATTTGTTTCGGGTTTTTCAGACGGTAATGCGACATGTGTCTTATCATCATTACGCTACTAACGAGCTGTCATAACATAAAACATCATACCAACCAATATTAAGAAATTTATATTTTGCTAATTTTCGATTTTGGTTTTATACTACTAAAAAGTAGTCGAAAATTGATACAAAAGATATTTCAAAGTTAATACTTGCGTCAATGCCCTGAAGGTTAAATAGATTGATGGGATTATGTAGATTATTTTCCCTTTAATTACCGTTACTTAAAAGAATGATTACTGTCATAACTTTTCCCCCACTCCCAAAAGTTACAATTATGATATAAGAATAGAAGTGTTGGTTTGTAGGGAAATGATTGGTTAAAGGATTTCATCATGAGCTGACAGCTGTCCAGTACTCCCAGGTTATCCAATGGTTCTCTAACCAGTGTCAGTTCATGACGGAATCCTGTAACTAGTCAATCAAATCTCTACAAACCAATACTTGAATATCAATGAGATGCTCACTAACGACTTGCCCTATACAGGTAGGTAGTTCTAGTGAGAAGTCGTGACCAGTAGGGTGCAGCAGGTCGGGTGTGAGGACAAATACTCTCTGAAGACATTGGCTAGTGGTTGCGCTGTATTGTGAATTGGCAGAAGTTAGCATTCATGCGCCATTGGATTGGGTCCCAGTGGCTCAGTGGTCTACGAGCTCGCCTTGTAACCAGAAGGTCCTGGGTTCGAACCCCGGTGGGGGCCTACTTCTGAAGAGTCCTAAACTCGGATGAGACAGCTGTCCATTACTCCTAGGTTTTTCAATGGTTCTCTAACTAATGTCAGCTCATGATGAAATCCTATAAGAAGAGAACTTGTTCACTGTGGTAGAGCATAATGACTCATAATGGTTGCAATTTTGACTGCGTAATATTGTGGCATTCAGCTTCATTCCTGACAAAGCAACTAAGACAACTAATATTAGTACGTTCGTGTAGCACTTATATCAGTCTATTGAAAAACACCTGAGAACTATGCATTTATATTTTATCTGAAGCGAGTCAAAATAAATTAGAAAAATGGGAGATCCAACAATCGATCAACTTTAAACTTAGAGGAATGAAACTTACCCCGAAACAATTCAGAATATACCACACCAGTCCAATTTACCATATTTATTGTGTAAGGGCTGATGATATTTCCTAAACATCCAGTCTGGGACTTGAAACAGCGGTTGGTTAATTAGAAGCTGGATTCTTAAGTTTCATGAACTATGTCTCTTATTGAAATGATTGATACATTATGAATTCCTATGAGAAATCCAATGTATTGGATTGTGTGGCAGGCTCAGAGGAGCGAGAAGAGAGAAACACGTTTCCCTGAGAGGGAAACTCTAAACAATTTGGAGTTCTCTGATGATTTGTGCTTAAAGTCAAATACGTTAGAGGACTTACAGGCGAAGACCAACAAGTTGCCGGGACAAACAAACAGTAAAGCCAAGGCTTCAAGCCATTACAGAGAAGATGGAGGTAATGAAGATAACCAACTAACCAAAAACAAGCACCAATCGCAATCACAATCAACTGGAGAAATTTGAAGTAGATCACCTCCTTCACTTATCTAGTGAGCGTTGTTTCAAATACAAGTACGCTCCACAGATGGCGGTGCTAAACCAGCCAGGAGCGGGAAAGCAAGGCAGACCTTTATCACTCTGGAATCGATTTGGAGATGTTATACACCCCACAACTTGAAGAACGAAATACGGATTTTAAACTCCAGTGTTAAGTCGGTCTGTTCCTCTGCATAAGTCGGAAACTTGGCGCAAGCATAACGAATAACATTTCGCACAGCTTACTGCAGACCTTAATCAATATCCACCTACACTGGCTGATGATCAGATGACCAGTTAGAAATGATTAGCGTCAAGTGACTCTGGAAAGAAACCAACCAAGGACTTATTTATCAATAAATATGAGTAAAGAAATGCAGATGGATTTGGCCCACAGTGGGGAGGCTGTTGGGTAATATCTTGCTAGGCTATTTCTCAAGTGGGATACGAATGGGAAACAATGAGTTAGGTGTGTTTGTTTGGGTGACGTGGAGGAGATTGTGTGAGGAGGAGGTGAGAGTTTATGGACAATCATGAGTCCAGTTAAAGTGCAAATAACAATGACAGTGAATAAATATTTAGGTTTTGAGTTCTGTGCGGCCTTCGCTTGATTTTGTTATGAAATAATACTAAAAGCCGTTTCCTCTTAGTTTTGAACTCTTCGGCAGTGCGCACCAGTGACCTCATTATATATCTAAGCACCAGTCATCTACTGATTAATGACTACACGACAGATGGCATACATTTCCAATGAGAAATTATGAGTGGTAGTATCAGGTGTGAATCAGATGCACATCGACGCCATAGACTGCTGATAGCACTATTTCACGAGTAGACAGAAGTCGAAATTCACGGGTGGCTGAATGGCGGTCATTAGGGTTTACCATATATCCTAGTACATCTTTTGGTGCATACCACCGTAAAGTGGTGCATTAGGATGAAACAGCGTTCCACTATTCTTTATTTTTTAATGACTACCTGAATAATGCCCTTTTGTGACGACATTGGCACTGTATTAAATACATAATGAATTTTCATAGAATATTTATTTTAAAAGAATACCAATTCAAAAATAAACCTACTTTAAATTGCAGACTTTTTAAATAGTTCATTCCACACGATTTAAAATCTGTCTAAAAAGGTTAACAAAGAGTAAATTGTTAACATTTCTGGAAATAATAATTAATAATAATAATAACAGTTACTATTTGATCTTTTTTACCTTAACAATACCACTATCCAAAAATTCTACACGTGGTTTTATCAACACAATATCCAATAAGTAAATTGTATCCATTATGGAATTTAGAGTATACCATAAAGTTGTATTGTCTTCATCGTCATAAATATTGAAGGCTTCACGAAACGGTATTGTTATATAATTGTATAAAACGGCTATCAACAGGAAACCCAACCATCCGAGGTATAGATTGCCTAAGTTAAATAATGAAGAGGTTAACAAAAACAATTAATGTAGACAAAATTGTTTAAACAAGGTATAGATAAAGGTATTTTGAGTGAAACTTTATTAAAATAATACTTAATGAAATTTTCTAGTCACTCATTGTGAGAGGCGTTTGTTAGACAGGCAAATAAAAAGAGGTAAAAGATATATCAAATATTACTGAAATTCTGGAGGAAAATAACCATCCAAAGGATTTTAGTACCGAAATCAACACCAACACTAAACATGGTTGAAAGTGTATTCTGGAGACATGGACCTTATCAGTTGTCCTCCCTTCATACAGGTCGGAAAAGTCAAACGATATCAGAAGGGGATTACTTACTAAACAGAACATTAGAATTTTCTTTAATATATCAGGCACACTAAAAAGCAACTTTGTTCATGTAAAACACTAAACCCCTAAAAATTCTCTATCTATTTGTGTCTGTAAAATAAAATGCTTGGAATGTGATGCGATCTACATCAGACAAACATCTCGAGAAATCAAAATTAGAAGAAATGAACACCATAGAGCATCTGTTCGACCACTGAGAAGTCCAGTTGAACTAGAAAGGCTTGAAAAATCATCAGCTATAGCTCGTCTACACGCTATAGAATCAGGTCACAAAAATGATTTCGATAATATTGAAACAATCCCCCAAAAAAATTTCAGAGATCACAAAGAACCTTTCACATCATCAGAAGCGATTCGTATCAAATGGAATCCAAATTGTCTGAATAGGAATGATGCACTAAAACAGAAATTTACCTGATCACAACACCTCCCTCCATGATACGACAAAGTCAACACGAATTTGATAAGCAATTACATTATGTAAACACACACCGCTTTTATAATTTTATACACTTGTCAAATCCAACGATCTTTACCGATTGACCAACTTGACAACATACAAATTACTCTATGCTGATGAACGATGATTAAGCTGTTATATATATAAGCTAAGATTTTGTAAATTCTGGTTTAATAATACTTTGATTAAGCTATTAACAGCATTAAATACTGAAACGTCAGTAAAAACGGCAAAATATCGTTTTGCTTTTCATTCAGTGGGAAATACAAATAGCCTTTATTATTATTATATGAATATCAAATACCCAATGGCCAAATTTTCTCAAACTAGTAAAAGGGAACTTGTTTTGGACATATATAATGTGATGCTCATGTAAATTGTATCCCGATCAGAATTTGGCTAAGCTAGTAGTTTTGTGACTGGATTTCAGATAATGCCACACTATCACTACACCTTCAATCATGACTTTCTAAATCAAAATTCACCAAATCAAAGCCCACATGTGAGAACTGAGTCGAAGTTTCCGTGTATGAAATTGCTTTTGTTTTTGGTTTAATTCATAAAAAAGATAAGAGCACAGCACTAGATTTCACAAGTGTAGAAATTACGAAATTCAAACTACATATGTCCAGTATAATGACGATTTTCGTCATATATGTGTTATTGATTTGAAGTTTTGATAGGATGACGTTTACTGGAACCAGGCAGGTTACACTTACTACTCAGTTCACTTCGGGCAGCTTAGATCCTATTTTTGATATTGAAGCGTCGCGCCTAATTGACATTCATGATTTTTCAAAATAATTCTGGACCTCTAGCCAAATACACTCATGGTCAGCGATTCAACTCTCTACCGGCTGACTACTAACCCCTGCTTAGCTGACAGTAAGCCCAGGATTGAGGGAAGATTCAAAATGAACCTAGAGACCTTACCCCATAAAAGATAACACCACTGTTGGTGAAGCGCAACCGAATCAGATGGAAAATATTTCCTTTTTATAGATCTTCAAATAGTTTCGTATGACGACATACACATTAGCATGTTCTGAATATTCGGATCTTTAATTAACAATTCCGCCTAGACGATTATTTATGTATTTCACACTGAACTATGTTACTCAGAAGCCTGTACGTTTTTACAAGAAGCGTCCTTTATCTCATATCAAAGTACTGTCATGTCAAAGTACCACCTACTTCCTTAATTCTGTAACTCTTAATGCGTAATTATACTATTTCTCTGTTCTTATTCAGTCATCTAAATTTGTGGTTCGCAGGAGTGCTTCAACAAGTCAAAAAAGAGATATTTATATGACCGGCAATGACTGAGGATGAGGTGAAGAGCTGGGCTGTGCCAGGATTTGAACCACTGGTCTTTGAATTACTAGTCAATTGCTCTGAACTACGAAGTGTAATTGTTAGTCAGGCCATAATTTCACTGTCAGTCCTGGGGTATCTCAGATAGTCTTATCAAATGTGCATATATTTAGAATATTGTAAACTTACTGTATGGTGATATCGTTGCACTGAACACATCTTTAAGGCCTACTAACCATGCTGGTAGTGGGATTGAAATCTGTTTAAGTTGGATATCTACTTGCCCTATGACTTCAGCTGAAATATGAATTAATTTATTAAAAATATAGTATAAAATATGATCAAGGTCAAAATGAACAGAATAATTGATTTCAAACAGAAAAATCATTTGAATCTAGGATTTGTAAAGATTTTAATCGATCCTTATGTAAATTTACTCATGAATCAACATCACTCAGATAATTACTAAAAGCCAAGAAGCACCAGAATGAATTAATTCGCGATATAATACCATCTATAACCAGTGTCACAGATGAATAGTTGCTTTACTTCTGATGTAATGACCCCCCACCCTACCACTGCCACAAATTCTCATGGGAGTTTCAGGAAGTTCACCACTTAGCCATTAGAAGAAGACTGAAAATCAAAGAATCACGAAGATCAGTTAGAATTCATGAGATATTTAATTCTAATCCAATGGTCAAGTGGTTAACACGCTTAAATCGTGACCTGGAGTCTGTAGGTTTGCTCTGTTGTGAGGTCATTGGTGCACAGTTCTGATTTTTTCCAAGCTGGGATGTAACAGCTATCTGTTTGTAGTCATTTAGTCAGATGTTTCGACTTCTTAGCAGTATGCACTTACGGCCCCAGGGGAGGTAGGTATTCAGGATCTACAGATTACCGGCTGAGCACGTTACCATTCAGTCACTGGTTAGGAATCAACGGCCAATGAGTTGTAACTTCCACCAATTTGCAATATATGTCGACACCGACGGTCAATATAGTCGGTGAGTATCTGTCATTGTATAAGAATTAGTGTGTAACTAAACAAATGCGAATGAACCAAATGAATTTTTTTAAACAAAGTTGTAATCAAAGGATGAGGGAATGTATACATATCAGGTGAAAGCTTACAACTAAAAGGTATGAAGCGATGTAGTATTTATTAACTCATAGGTGCCGCAGTAGGCTAGGGTTTCAATAGTGGCTAAATTTGTTTCTTTTACATTCCTGGCATGCTGTGGAATCTTTAGGACAGTAGAAGCTGTATTAGGCAAAACATCTTAGGAATGACCCCGCTGTTGTGTTTGAATAAATTCCCCCCCCTCTCAATATACTTTTACGAACAAACGTCTTATTTACCGGCAGAATAAATTTTTTTGATATAACACAGAATGGTTCTGTATTAATATCTGGATAAGCTTTCAAACACAATCCAGCTATATTAGTTATATCAGTGTAGTCACCAGATTAAATAACTTTCTTTACATAGCCTTATTGCCTCTTGTCTTTTGCTGTAAATTTCTACATATCTGTGATAAGTGCAGCATGGTTTCAATCGCGTATGATTCGGTGAAGCAATATTTGATGAATCATCTCTCTTTTCAAGTAATGGTTTTATAGGGGTTTCGTTTCATTGGTTGGAGGATTTCATCATGAGCTGACATTATTTAGAGAACCACTGGAAAACCTGGGAGTACTGGACAGCTGTTTCGTCCCATTTCGCGACTCTACACAGAATGCAGCCACAGGGGTTCGAACCCACAACTTCTGGCTATAAGGCGAGCTCATAGACTATTCAGCCACTGGTACTCGACCCAATGGCCCATGAATTTTAACTTCTGTCAATTTATGACGTTGCACGACCACTTTGCAGTTTCTCCTTCATTGGGTTACTACGTTACCTTGAGTCCTAGTGGCTTAATTTTCTATGAGCTTGCCTTGTAGACAGAAGGTCCTGAATTCGAACCCTGGTTGGTGCGTACAGTTAAAGAGCTGGTCCCAAACTAGGGTGGGAAACAGCTGTCCAGTACTTCCTGAAGGTTTCCAATGGCTTTCTAACCGATGTCAGCTCATGATGAAATCCTCCAGTGAATCACTTGTCTCTTCGCCTAACTACATTACATTTTAATGCTTTACTACCCTAGCCCCTTATGGTGTGATCATCTGCAGGTAAATGTATTTCAATGACAGAATTTTTTCTTGAGTACTTAACTTAGTGCGATCCAATGATTCTAGGCTTTGCTAACCTAAAGTGAATAACCCCAACAAGTAGTAAGGCCATATATAGCAAGCCTAGTTATTAATACAGTACCACTGTGTTTTACATTAAATAAACGTGTATACTATGCATATATTTCACTACAGCGACCAAATTCTTCTCTTAACTCAATTTTTCTAATTCATCTTTGATTACTCACTTAGACTCGCGCTCTGATGAGTTTTATTTCCCTGTTTTTTATTTTACCATTATCAGTTTGAGCAGAACTCAACATAAACATCTTTCATGAGCATTCAGTGGCATTCATGATCATTTACTTTTGAAATCTGATGTTCATTCCAGTACCAAATTCTTTTGCACATTATCGCAAAACACAAATTTCAAACTATTATCTAGAAAGAACTAATTTACATGTACATCCTGGAATTTCAATCTCAATGATTCAGTTAAATCAACAGTTGTTATCTACAGCAGTACGCACCCACTGAGGTTCGAACCTAGGACCTTCCGGTTACAAGACAAGCTCGTATACTATTAAGCCACTGGGACTCGATTCAATGGCCCATGAATTCTAACTTCTACCAATTCATGGTTTGGCACGACCACCAATATGAAGGTTCTGGGTTCGAACCCGAGTGATTCCCAAATTACTGTCTAACCTCCAAGAGTTATTTTGCAGGCGTTTCGTTTGCTTCAAGTCTGATCATGGATTGATTTCAGTTAGAGAACCATTGAGAACAACTAGGAAGTATTAGATATCTGTTTCGTCTTAGCTCGACGCTCTTCATCGGTTTGCAGACAATATGGTCCGAGCCCACGAGCTTGTGGTTACAAGTCGAGTTTGTAGACTATTCAGCCATCGAGACGCTATCTAATATTCTCTAACTATTAAGAATATGGATCTGAAGAACTTGAAGAGGTTATTAAAAAGACCTTTCTTTGTACACTGATCGGTATTCTGAAATTTCTAATAGACATCTTTATTCAAGTATATATATATATCACTTTCATAAAATTTCAGTACAGACACGTACATTGTTCATTTTCTTGTTCAGGTGATTTGATGCCTTCTTCAACTTTCACCTGTTTATTCTCTGTATTTGTACACTGAATACTGATACATGGTAGCTGAGGTTTAGAGATGAAATATTTTCGATTTGTACTCAAACACATCAGGCATAAGGGCTGTCGTATTATCAGTAGTCGATTAGGATACCTTTTCCACCATGGGATTGACTTTTCAACAACTTCTTTAGTGACAAATTCACCACCCAGCTGAAGTTCTTTTTCATCGGATTTCGTTGGATCTGTACCTGTAACAAAGAATCAATAAAGTTAAACGATTGATTAATCAATTACAATACAGTGAATATTTATCATCACGGGAAATGTGATAAAGTATTGAGTTATCTAAAACTAAAGCCAAAATGATGTATTCTGACAAAGTTTGAGAGTTTTTTGAAATAACTGTATTGGGGATCTGATCCGAAAACATGTGGTTTAGAAGCAGTCGTACAGGAGTAGAACATGTTATATAGCGTACTATCATGCAGAGTGACATTCTAAGTACTATGTTTCGCTCAAAATCAACTTTCCGGTCAAGGAAACAATCACTACCGATTCAAGTAGACTAGAGGGTGAGAAGATGCACAAAAATAACCAGTCACATTCAAGGCAACTGGGAGAGATGACCAATAAACTCGTGAGAAGTGTGAAGGTCACTTTACACTGATGTATACAGTGAGGAGGTTGTCTAGTAAGACGTTGGAAGCCTTGCAACGAAACCATCCAGTTCAAAAAACACGACTCCACAAAAATCATCCATCTGAGCTACAAATCTTCATTATATCTATCGATTATTGTTTATATTCCTATTTATTATTGCTACCAGGCTACAGTGTAGTTATTTAGGTTAGTATATGTTCTAGCTAGACATTTGTAATTATTTGAAGCGAATTATCAGTGGAAAAGCAACAGAATGAAACAAAATAATGTGAAACGAAGGTGTACGTCGCTACAGAAACATGTCTGACAGCCTCGAGGTAACCAGTCCAATGTTCTGTAAGCTGAAATAAGCGATCCAGCTGCTAATCAAATGACCGTATCGCTGTACATTTAACGTGTAGTCTCATAATCTGTTACAAGATCGAGTGAATGGTACTAGACTGTCTGTCTGTCAGTCATCATCAACGCCATCCCAGTTTTTTGGCCACAGACAGTCTTACTGTGGATTTTCACAATAAAATCCAGAACTATGATTAGAAATCAAACATTCGATTAGATAATACAAATGCTCAGGTTACTCGTGAAGTCCACAACGCCGGATTTGTAATAATATTAATATATATATAATATGTGTTTGTTAAGAAATAATAAACCTCGAATTAAAGTGTTGGTTTGTGAGTCAGCCATGCTAAATACCATTACAGCATGACAAAGAATAAATAGCGTAGCCTTATCGATATGACAGAGTAGGAAATGAAGAATACGTTAGTCTTCTATTTCAGGTAATTCACAACGAAAAGCCCAGAGAAGCCTTTGATGTGAATACACGAGTGCGACAAGCTTGCCTTCTATGACTGATAATATTTTTGTTGATTGTGCAAAAGAACTTGGGGAGCGAGTGAGCAGGAATACGGTGGACCGACAAAATGATTCCAGAAGACTTGTCCAATATGAAAAACTCGAAAGTCTACTGCCAAAGACCAAACATTTGCCAGAAAAAGCAGGGAGCCAAGACACAACTTCAAGTGACCATAGATAAGATGAAGATATCCACTGACCAACAACATCACCAAACACCAGTCACTATATGGGAAGAATCGCTCAATTATAGGTACAACTCGCGGATGGCAGTGTCAAAACCAGCCAAAATTGCATGCGAAAGATAGATCTCTCCACCACGAAATCACCTGGAGAATGTACTACAGTAAGCATAAAGAACAAAATTTAGATCTTTAATATCAATGTCAAGTTAGTTCTTCTACATGGTTCAGAGTATCGGTGCTTTTAGAAAAGCATTTTCAACAGGTTACTGCAAACTTTTATCAACAACTGTCTTCGCCGGCTCTATACTAGAGACCAGTTACAAAGGACTAACATCAAAGAATTCTGTGAACGAACTGACCAGGAAGAAATATGACGAATGAAATGGAATGTATGAGATCCACGCTAAGTAACATCTTGAGCTAGTCCATCGCTCGGGAGAATCCCGAATCGGAAACGGGAATTTGGTGTGGATATTTAAGTAACATGGAGGAGATTGTGTGATATGGAGATGAGAGTATATGGGCATCCAAGGAGGACTGTAAAGAACTGGACAAAATGAGGATGTTCTGTTGGAGTTCTGTGTTCCACTCGGAACTCAGGGGAATAACAATAACATTAAAGATAAATTTTCCAGGGCAACGTAAAGGGGTTAGAGTAAGTAACAGTTGGGATGGAGTAGGATTTAGGGAAAACATGTTCAGCAAGTACAATATGTAATCACAAGACAAAAGTCACTATTGACGGAACATTGAAGCATGCTACTAATAAGTAGTACAAATTTGAAAATAAAAATATGTGGTAGAAGACCGGTGGAGAACAGATTAGAAAAAGATGAAATGTTGAGGTCAAAGGACAATAGTAAGAATATTAGTTATAATTACTAACTTACCAGTTTCTTCTTCTTCAGATTCACTTTCAGAAACTTCAGCCTTATCAATTTCTTTAGCTTTTATTATCTCTATTCGATTGGTGAATTTTGTACGAAGTTCGCGTAATCTTTTGACTATTGATATACTCACGTCAGAATCTGATCGTCTAATGCGACAGAATCAACAGTTGTGGATAAAAGAAGACAAAAAATGAAAGTCAATTAATAGGTAGCATATTCTGTATGGTGGAAATAACTGAACTGTACTCTAAATCTTCCACAAACCTACTAAGCTCAAAATCCGTATATACTATGATAACATGGCCTGTCATTGTCAGATTTCAACAGTTTTTTTAAATTTTTATTTCTGTTAACAGCTTGATCCCACGCTGTATTTTTGGTACAAGTATGGAATTTTCAGCGTGGATATCAGTAGCCCAAATTTCGCAGGCCAACCATAGATATCTGGTGTGCGCCGGTGTGGGCTCGAATCCCGGACCATGTGCATGGTCGTCGAGAGTCCTAACCACTGTGCCACCGACGCACAGTAAATAAATAGATAAATATAGAAAAGGGTGGGAGATAATTTTTAAAATGACAAATAATGTTGTGAATTCAACGGAGAAATCATGTTCCCTGCTATCTGCCTCACATTGATCAGCTAACTTATGTAGGTGAGTGACGAAAACTACATGAAATTTATTCAGATCCTTATAGACCAAAAACACTAGATGACCATTTCGTTTCACTTTCCCAGTCTGATTCACAGTATGCCTTATCATCGTATTAGAAAACACGTTTGGCCTTTGAGTAATGTGTTTGCCTTGCAACCCAAGGGTTCTAGAGTTGATATTCTGTGAACACGTGGATGTACACTGCTGATGTCATAAAATGTCAAAATACAGCATTCTGGTACTTCTAGTTTTCAGTGATTCCTTAGCTAACAGCAATTCATGAGGAAGTCACCCGTGACATCACTTAAGCCTGTACAAGTCTAAGGCTTGAAAATTCACATGAATTTTCAGGTGAATTCCGGACGAAATTTGTTGAACATTAGTCTTTTTCTGGTATATTTTATCTCTGTATTTAAACGTCTTGTCTAATCATCTCAAACACTATTTATATTCTTTTTAGAATTTAATTAAATTTATCCAAACAAGGACTGTAAGACCTGGAGCCAACTAACTATGGTATGAACTCAGAAAGCAGATCTCTGCATCACATTGCATAGCTCTGAAAAACGTCCTAGAGAAACGTATTTTAGAATAAGAATGTAACTGTTCAAACTATGTGTAGATTTGGTTATTTTGCCATCAGTTTATATGAAGTCAATGTTTGGTCAAAAGCCTCTCTTGACTTGGTTTTTATGGGTCTTAAGACTCGCTTACTCATTGACGCAGACTATCGCTACTCATTGGCTCAGTTAAAATAATTACTAATAACTTTTTCGGGAAGTTGTCAACATTCTGTATAATAGCTGGTACATTAGGCACATTGGTTATTTACACTATTCAGTTCTAAGACCTGGATGGATTTTACGGGTTATCTGTATAATGTGGCTGCTAAGTTAGGAGGTTGGTGATTTCTTATATCTAACAGAAAGTCACACGCTGTCTATGTTTCATCTTTGCTGGGGCTCATCGACACCCATATCTAACGTCATTCACGAATGATCGATAGTATCTGGTCTCTTAGACTGGAAATTAACTTCATCATACGCCTGGTGGGTGAAACTGTTTAAGAGTAATAGGAATGTTCATTTTATCCCTTGCAGTGGTTTCTATGCATGATGGAACTCCCAGTATTCTCAAACTGCAGCAAATAAAATAAATATTGAGTTGATGCGGTAAGGAATGAATTGAGAAGTTTTTAAAGTTGCACAGATAAAAACAGTTTAACTTGACAACAACTCTGATTGATTAAAAAAAAAACAAGAGGAGTAGTGTGGGGCAATACGTGTTTGATGAGAAAGGGTATTGTAGTAGCTAAAAGTTGAAGCAGGTCATCTATTCAAAATTTAGTCACCATTTGAGGCCAGAAGAACACGACTTACTTTATAGTAGCCATTCTGTGTACCCTCAGGAGTTAGTTTGTGAGAGTTTGATTTTTTAAATGTTTGACCAAGGATTGATTTCATTCAGAGGACCACAGATAACCGAAAAGAAGTACTGAACACAGCGGTGTTTCCTTGTTTTGAGACTCATCATCAGTATGCACCCACCACGACGGTGTTCAAATCCCTACCTTCTGGTAACAAGCCAGACTCGTAGACCATCCATTCACTCGGAACCAACTCAGCGGCTGTGCCGTGAATTCTAGCTTCTGTCATTTCGCGATTGTAGCGCAACCGCCAACCGATTTCATCTGTCATGAATATCTATATTCATTCATGACTTCTGATTAGAGCTCCAATCATTTTCGTCCTGCAACCAATCACTAGCGAGTTCCAAACTAGGACGAAACAGATATCCAATACTTCCTAGTGGTTTTAGTGTTTCTGTAACTGATAACACTCCGCAGTCAAGCTTCACAAGTCCCAAGTGTATACCTTTGAAGTTCCTTTTTTTCAAATGATATAGGAGGAAAGATGTCTTCCTTATTTCCCCCTTATTACTAGTTCATCCGATTAGATAGTTAAAAATTAGTAGTAATAATTAGCAAACAAATAAAACTTCATATGATGAGTTGAGATGGTAGGTATTTACAATGAAATAAATCAGTCAGATCTTTCACTTACTCTTCCCTCTGTGGAATCCTGAGTAGTGACGCATTTGAACTGCTTCTGTTCAGCTTACTCTGTGCTATAAAATGTTATCAAGGGTGAAGAAGAGTGAAAAATAAGATACATTGATCAGCAAACATGACTTATTACAAAAGGAAGGAAGATGAAATGCGTGTTTCATTATACCTCTGGGCACCAATATACTTTCTCTTCAATGTTTCTAGCGGGCTTCAATTATTGTTGCACGCACAGCACTAGTTGATTTGAAGGGAATTGTAATAGCACGTTCTGTTTGGAGTGTTTGATATCTTGAGGCCTTTAGGAATTTATCTGGAAGCTTATGGACGACAGACGAAGACTGTCCAGTGCAAGTTTTATGGTCTGGTTGGATGAGGTGATCTAATATTGATCTATTAATTGGTTTTAACAATACCTTTATTTTACCGCTCTGGTTCGTCTTTCCAAGCACAAGAAATCTGGTTCCTACAGCGACGACCAATATAACTTGTTCCACAGGAGCAGTTGAAATGGTAGATACAGTTAGAGGTGGCTAGCCTAGTTACTTCGTCTTTCATTTTCGGGATAACAACTGGTTCTGTGGAGAGAGTATAAGCTTCAGACTACTATCAATGTTGTTTGCTGTTTGAATTAACAGCAGCATATGTCTCAAAAATCAAGTACAGTTCATGAAATATTTAGACTGTTGTGTTTTGTCGGTCCTGATCGGTTGCTTTGTAAATAAAAATGCTTGATTTACATGCTACACAACCAGACTATATCAAAAACCTCTCCTACTTTGCTAGCTCACTAGTTCTTCGGACGGTCTTAAGCCCGTGTAAAGAGGGGGAGTTAGACGTGAGGCTACCGACCATTCTCCCGGAAAATCAATCAAACTGCTACGGAAAATTCATCAAACAAGAAAAATATTAGAAATCGCTGCAAGAATCTTCAAATATTTAGGAATTAATTCTGCACACAAACCAACAAAATCACTCAGCTCAACTCTGTGTCAATCAAAAGACTCAACAGTGAAAGAAGATAAAACGGACATCATCTACAAAATAAGTTGCAACGAATGTGAAAACACTTCATTGGTCATAGTGGACGTCTCCTTCATCCTCGTATCCATGATCATAAACTAACCGTCAAAAGACATGACATCCACTCTTTCGTTCACAACATTGCATGCAGACAAACACGGAAATCGATTCTACTGGGACAACGTTCACATATTAGACAGAGGGAACACCAAGAATGCTAGAGAATTTTTAGAAGCTTGGTATTTCACTGAGTCATCAATCAGTAGACATACTGAAAACTCCCACGCAAAGGGTCAAAGTTCAAGTCAAGGAAATAATCAATTCCAATACAAGTATCATAGAGGGTATGGAAACACACTAAAGCAACCAACCACGTTCAAGGTGACCAGGAGAGATGACCAGTAAACACGTAAAGAAATCTAAAAGCTCACTTCAGATTGAAGTCTGTGCTGAAGATGTTGCCTAGTAGGGCAATGAACGCTTCGCACATAAACCATCATTCTCAGGGAACACAACAACATCAAAACCATCCACCTGAGCTACAAATCGTCACCATCATACTTTTCAAATTCTATGCTGCTTTATGTTTAGAATCAAAAGTATATCGTTGAGATATCTTTTTTCCCTTTTCTAAGTATGTTATTTTTGTGTCAAATACATGTGAGCTGAAGAATACTGTCAAATAAATTTTATCGGAAAAGCCAGTTAAGTACTATTGGTTTTCCCCCTACTCATGATGTTTTACAGGTATGTTCAAATCAAAGTCATGATAAAAAAAGTAACTATTTTAATAATATCTCTTCTGCATTTCCTTTCCTAACTTCATTCTTCGGTACTTCTTTTTTATGGCTTAACAACGATAAATTATAGGGTGGTGGGGAGCTGTGTTGCATTTAAATTTGGCAGCCTTATCGAAACCTGTCTGTCAAACTTAGTCAATTATCTTTCACAGTAAATCGTCCGAAGTAAGTACCAACGACTGTTTCATACAGGAATGCATAAGATTCTTATTATTAAAAATTTTAATAGACTGATTAGTGAACAAGGAATATTCTTCTCGACAGTTTCTTTGTCATGTCCTTCAGTTATATGACACTAATAACTAAAGAAACGTCTATATTAACAAAGTCGATGTTCTTGAAAAATTTCACTGAATCTATAACATCAACAGATCCCATTTGAAGAGCCTCGATAAGAGATAATATCCATTAATATAACACTAAACTGACTGAATATCAGATAAATTAAAGGAAGCAATAGGGAATCTATGAATTTTATAGGCTCATTAGCAGGTAATGATAGTAATAGTGGCTGGATCTGTTACTTTTGCACACAGAGTTCCAGTCGATTTAAGTGGATTGCAATGATCTCTTCTATTTGAAGGCCTTTGGTAAATCATCCAATGCCCAATAGATGATTCTTAAACGCCAGCTGGTTTTGTGGCCTGGTTGGATGTGGTGATCTAATATCTAACTCTTAGTAGTTTATCAACACTTTTATTTAGTGAAACGTGTAGGTATCGTGAGTGAACAACAGCGAGAAATGATTTAAGAACATTATATAACTGTTGCATTCTAACTTGCTATTCCACAGTATCCCTAGCATATTAGAATGCCGCTCCTTCAGGAATGCCACGTCATGGATCACATTCCCTAAAATCTAGTTCAAAAAACTAAAATTCTGCGATCCACATATTTTTCCTAATATCTTCGAGTTCAATGCATAACATTTACTATCTATGGACTCCACATTCTCCGACCACTTTTACTTTGATACCTACCATTATAACAAATTCTTTGAAGTTAATCAATGAAAAGTGTTCATAATAGCAAAGACATTACTTACGAAAGGCAGCAATCGCCCTGTCCATTTGTTCTCTGCTGACAGGTATTATTATTTCGTCTTGTTCATTAGCATCACGTTGAGTTCTAATTTTTTCAGGTGTAGATTCAGACATCTGCTTAAAACAGTGTAATAAAAATTTGTTCAGAATAATAATAACAATAAGAACTAATCGTGTCAACTTTAACCCTTTGCTGACTAGGTTGAGATTTCACTCCAGTTACCGAAATAATTCCTGGTATTAACGTGAATTGAAGCTATATAACTTTCTCTTCGTAGATGCACCAGACGTCCAACTAGATCTTCTCTCATCAATCCTAATCATGATAAAATTACTAAGAGACAATCAAATTATTATTTGATGATGGAATTTTTTCACAGATAACCTTATGTGCATTTAAAAAAAGATTATATTCTATGTACATTGCGAGTGGAACATAGGTCCTCACTCTTCAGCTTTGCCTGGCCGATAACTGCTACCATGCTGTGGTGGTCGGGCTTGAATACCGCAATGACCCAACAAGCTAAACTGACTGGGATTCATGCCCCTTCAGGTCCTACCATATCAGGAAGGTTGTTTGGATAGCGGTTAAACTAAAAGCAGTTATCATGGGGTACATGGGCTTCAGTATCCAATCGGATCAAATGGCGTATGAACCCATATGCGTCACCGGCAACCATGGGAATGCAGCTCCTGACGCTGCTCCACTGCCTTGCGGATTAGACTCCAGGTCAAATGCTCGGGGTTCGGTCCCTTAATAAAACCACCTGCTTCGGTCTGGACGCCTGGGCAGCATCTCAGCCCTCACACAATAAATCAAATGAAGCGACAGCTCAAATCGATGGCTCGAAACGTTATCGGATAAGGCTAAAACCGTAATCAATGGCGAATGTGTTGCAATTTCCTTCTTTCTTCCCTTCCCGATGATAGTTAACGATTACTGTTTTGACTTGTTAAGCATGACTGTTTCCCTTCCAGATGAAGTTCTTTATCCGTTCTCTACTTATATATTTTTTTCTTTTGATCTATGTTGTTTTATTATCATTGTGTGGCGCATCCTTCTTGGTGCCATATTTTACCAAGTTTTTATGCGTTTAAATAAATAAATAAATAAACTCTTGAGCTTTGAGCTTTCAGTAGCAGTGACATTGTCTTTTACGGGGTTAGGCTGGTAGGCTTATGCCTAACCTCCCCTCTTCCCTGGACTTACTATCAACTAAGTGAGGTTTTTAGGAGTGTGTCAGGCAGGGATCAAACACAGGACCACGTGAGTGATTTGCGAGTATTTTATTACTGCACTTTATGTTCATGGATTACTATTGTTTTAATGAGTGGTGAAACCGTGAAATCCACTAAATCGATATTATCAGAACGGACGTGAGGAGTGTAGAGGAAATTCTAGGAAAACAATCTGCATCTAGTGTGAGGGTAATAGAAGAAGTCAGGATACCTAAAAAAGACTGAAACACAACGCGAAGGCTGAATCTCTGCATCACTTTCTGGGACTCACTTCATATAGCACGTACAAATTAGTTCCAGCAATGAATGAAGAAATATGTCCAAAAATCACAACAACAAATGCAATGCCAGTCTTTCGGAAACAATGACAGAATATACAAATATCTGTTATGAATGAAGAAGATTTTGTCCTCAAAATTCGATTATTCTTGAATGAACTCATGTACATACCATGCACAAATGTGTTCCCATTAAAAGGAAGAAAAAAATGAAGACAGGATCCAAAACCAAGGTGAGAATATATGAAAGCAGATTAACTTAGTGTTCAGTATATCGCTAAAAATCATCCCCTAATCAATAGTTTCACTTTTTAAGATTCTTAGCTACTAGCTGTGTTAGAAATAATCTGTAACTATTTGTCTTGTCAATCCAAAGATCCTGACTAGACAGTCCACACCTCTCCACTTGGCTAACACCAACAGTCAGTGATTTCACGAGATCGTGCCATAGTTATTAATGGTCAGTTCAGGTGACAGGTGGTGCGGAAGAGACAATGTGGCTTCACACCGCCTCAATCAATGAAGATTCGCAATCTCAGTAAGTGATTTAACCTCTCCTCCTTAAGCCCCACCCCAAAAGACCCTCTAGTTTGTCTGTGCCTTCAATTAAAAGAGTTGTGAATTCTGTGAAATCTAAATTGATGACTCCTTTTTTCTAGTAAAATATCAATTTCTGTAAGATCTAATTTGATCAGGTCCACCACTGTAAGTATTGTTCACATTAATTGAATACCAAGCATGAGATTGGATGACCTCTTTCGATAACTTCATTGGCATATATCAGTACATCTATAATGGTCACAGTTAGCTGCTGTCAGTCCAAATAATAAAACTCAGCAAGTTAACATATAGCTGTATGGTTTCTAACGGTTGTGTAGCCTCTCGACAGTCCTTTCACATATAACCACCACAATTCTCTCCGTAGTGCGTGTCAGTGAGTCGAAAAATGTTTAAACGCAAATCGAAATACCAGCAAGAAGCCATCCTCAAAGACAAGAAGGAAAATTCATTCTAACATATTTAACAAGATTTCTAAAATAACGGCCAGAATATTAAGACCATTTGAAACAGACATAATCACACAATCCAACACTACAACTTCATTCAATATTGTTCTGACCAAAAGAATCAATAGAAAAAGAAGATAAGGTCAATTCTATTTACAAAGTAAATTGCAGAAACTTCAATGAACACTACATTGGTCAAAGTGGGTGGCCCCTTCGACTCAGAATCCAAGAGCATAAATTAGCTGTTAAAAGGCACGATATGTGTTCTTTCATATCAATGCATGTAAACAATTATGGACATCAATTTGTCAGGGAGAATATAGAAATTTGAAACAGAGGAAACACCAAAAATGTCACCGAATTTCTAGCAGCCTGGTACTCATCAGATGAACCAGCGGTTAGCAGGCACATAACTACACATTAAATTTACCAACTGATAAGAAAATAAATGACTTGATAAGAAACTTCAAAGTCCAAGTCAAATGATCAATAGAGATGTAATGAGATGAAAGCTTGTCAATTAAATCAACCAGCTCAGAGAACACAACAAAGTCAAAAACATGCTTTTATTTCAATAACTTAGGTTAGTCATATACGTCCACTGATTTGTCAGTAACGTCATAATGGCTCAATGCTTTAAATTGGCCAAGCTGAGCTCGAATAGTTTCCTTCGCTTAACTGTTACCATGGTCACATTTCGGATGGAATTAGAATCAGTATTGGTCTCAGTAGTGCTATTTAATCGTGAATTCATATATCTTTTCATTGACTTTATTCTGATAAATGTATTTAACCTCAGAAAACAACAGAATTTGTAATGGACTCTTTTCAGTAAGGAAAAGTACTTTTTTAACCAATTTAAAAGTCGGCTAGATCAGCGAATAATAAACTGTTCCGATTGGTTGATGATTGACCTATGGTTAAACAGTGAGATGAAACATTGACCTATAAGATTATTCCGTGTCCACAACGTACATTAAATCCAGATTTTAGGCATAGACACTTCTACGTCTTTAGCCACTTTTCTTAAAATGTTTATTTCAATTTTGGCTGCGTTCTGTCAATTTACATCTATATATTACTGATAAATCTAGCCAGTAGACAACGCCAAATGTGTATCACAGCTGATTGAACATACTTTTAAGAGTTTTGATTTTAAAAAAATATAAGATTCAATGTTATGTTTAAAATATCATTTTCTATCTTCCTTTTTTTTTTCTCTCAAAATATTGATATGATTTTGTACAGCGCGTACATGCACTCACAGTGATCTACGTATATTTACAGAAATATTCGTATCTACTATTTGGTATCCTGTAATTAGGACACCTGTAAATTATTATCGTCTGTTCTGATTCTCAGCTATAGTTTTCCATATGCATATATATGTATATATATCAGATATCTGAGTTCGTTTTCATTCTAAGATTTGTAGACAGAGAGCATGTGTGCAATTTTTTAAAGTGTTTGGTATCACTCATATCAGCCTGTTCGATATATATATATATACGTACCCATATGTACATGTAGGTGTGGGATGAGAAAAGTTTCAGATTTCTAACTTTTTCGCGTGATATTTCCTTCATTCTCTTAGGTTTGCTTGTTTAAACAACATCTTGGTGGGCACTACATTTCTGAGTTTCTAATGAACGTAATAACCATCTTTTTTGACGGACGCCAGTGTGTCCAGTTGTCTGCAGAGCATTCTTTTATCTTTCGCCATCCTTGTATACATACTGATAATTCTGATGATTAATAATAATGGTTAATAATTCTGATTCACATCGATGTATCTGTTGTTCGTAGATTCATCTGAGTACCGAGTTTTTGGGATTAGTAGACATCCCTTTATTTATCATTTAAACATGTTTCCAGTCGAATTAGTATCCAAAGAAATTAAGATTATTCGTCACCTCGCAAAACAGGTGATTTTTTTTCATGTAAGCAGAGACGAATATGATTTTCACTTTGACTATGGTGAGATTTTTACAGTTGGTGTAATTTATTTTACACGCGATGACTGATTTTATTTGTGGGCACTTCTAGACAATGTCCTGCTGATACAGCATACGTATTTAGCAATATGGAAGCAGGTGAATTGGTAAGTGCACATTGAAGTTGCAACAGCAGGATCTTGTCTTTGACGTTTCTCTGAATAAGGGGATGTGTGGAGAAAGTAAGGCATAGAGATAGGGCAAGGTAGGTTCTTCGAATTTCTCTTGACAGGCGCCTTCGGAGAACTTGACTAGCTGAACCTCCTTTGAATATCAGATTTACCATAAGTTGTTTTCAGGTATTGGTTTTGTGCGGATTTTGTTCGATTGGTTGGAGGGTTTCATCATGAGATGACATCAGTTAGAGAAATACTGGAAAATCTGAAAGTACTGGATAGCCATTTTGTCCTAGTTTGGGACTTTTCAATGGTGCGTACTCACCGGGGTTTGAAATCAGGACCTTCTGGTTATGAAGCTCACTAGCGACTTGCACTATTTTCATGTGGTTACCTGGGGTTCTAGTTACAAGCCGTGACCAGTAGGTTGCAGCGGGTTGAAGGTGAAGCAGTAAAACATAGGAGAAGACATTGCGAAAT